CCCACCCTCAGGTCTGAAGGCTGGAAGCTGAACTCGGCCGCTGTGCAGAGGGCGTCAGCGGTGACGGTTTCACACTCTGTGAGCTTTGAGGCGATCAGGATGCATCCTGCAGCCAGGCAGAACGGTGAGACAGGCAGGGACAGGTAGGCAGACAGGTACCTGTCCATGAGGGAGACAGACAGCGGGAAGACGGCCTCGTCACATCCACAGTCACAGCAAACCTGCACAGGAGAAAGATCAACATTTCAGTCACAGGAAGCAAAAACCACGGAAAAACAGAATTCCAACTTTGATCTCAGAAAATTAAAGTAAGAATTCAGAAAAAAAAATCTGATTAAAGTCAGAATTATTTTTTTGCCCCAGTGGCTCTAATCCTGTTCCATAAAAACTCTCTATTTGAACCATGAGTAAAGTTAGGAAGTGGGGCCATCAGAGAGTTTCCCACCTCCAGGGCCCACTTGGCGATCTCCTCCCGGCGCTGCGGATCCCGCTGGATGAGCGTGACGTAGAGCATGGAGGGCATGTAGCGCCCCTCCAGGTGGAGCAGCCTCTGGATCACTCGATGCCCCGACACGGAGGGGTCCCAGCGGGCTCGGAGCTGAGGCGAGCCCCTGCTGCTGCTCTGGCCTCCAGGCAGAAATGGCCGACATGAAGTTAAAGTTTTATCATGATATTTTATGTTACGTAGCAATAAATAAGGGAACCAATTGTAAAGTTACAGCCAAAAATAAACAGCAATAATTTGGGTTATTTAACCGGTTATAAAAGAAAAAAATGGAGGCTCATTTTTCAAAGTCATATTTTCACCATGAAGTTCATGCCAAATATATAGTTAATGAACTAAATATTTAGTTAATAAACTAAATACTTAGTTAGCAAGCTAATGTTTAGTAAGCACACTAAATATTGAGTTAGAAAACTATATATTTAGATTCAATTTAAACATTTCATTAACAAGTTAAATATTTAGTTCATATACTAAAGATTCTGTTAGCAAGCTACAGATTTAGTTATAAACTAAATATTTTGTTAATATATGGATGCAATATATAAAGCTAAATAATTAGCTTCAAGCTAAAAATGTGCTCCAACCTAAAGAAGGAGACTATATGCTAATAAAAGTTACAACTTTGCAAGTTACAACTTTACAGATAGCTAATAAATAGTTTATGCTATTGATGCATATAAACACTTTATAAATCAGTAATAACTGCATTAATTAAGGGAGATTATTTGCTAAAAATGTATGTCTACAAATACTTATTATTGAATCTGAAATGTTTAGTATAGCAACTTTAAATAAAATATATAAGTGAATACTTGGCTCACTATTTGGCAAGAAACCGGTAGATTTAGCCTTAATAGATTCATAATAAGCAGTTATTAATGATTTCTGAAGTGTTTAGAGATGAGTTGCTATGTCATCAATAAGGGAAGCCTTATTGTAAAGTGGTAACTTTGGGGTTTATTGTGACAACAATCACTCAGAAGTTTCATCATAAGAAATTCATTGTGATAATTGATAAACAATAAATGATAAATTTACCTTGAGGTTCACCCTGATCCTCCTCTGACTCCTCACACCATAGAGACACAGGAAGCGCCTGGTCCATCTGCTGCGGAAACACTTCCAAGACGAAAAGAAAGAAATTTGGAAAGCTAGAAGTTTGGAAAAATGTGACAACTCTTCATCACTCCTCACTTCTCTCCCAGATTTTTATACCAGCAGGGAGAAAAACGGAGGGAGTGACGGAAAGGAGGCGTGGACCCTCATGAGATACAGAATATAATAGGAAGAAACAATACGGTCTGCTCAACAGGTGGGGAGAAGGAGACGGAGAGCGAGGGGAGGAGCGAAGAGGAGCAGACAAGAGAGGGAGTGACCGCAGGGAGCGAGCAACAGCTTGTCGTCGACGGTGAAAGAGAGAAGGAAGGAAAAGGAAAGAAAAGGTCATCTCCAGACTCTGACAATGGGCATGGATGACAAAAGGTGGTGGGTGTTTGTTTACAACGTGAGGGAGAAGAAAAGCACGTCAAACGCTGGAGGGGTTGATGGATGTCTCAGATATTCCCAAAAAAAGGTCAATCTTAGTGTCAGACTGGAAAGCTGTGAAACTTATCCAACAGAAAATAAATGTAACGAAAGAGTTTAACCTCTATGGTCCAAATGATCCCACCCTAAAGCAAATAAAGCAAATAAAAAAGAGGTGAAAATTATAGTAAACTAACACTGTTAGAGAACCTGCAACTACTTTGTTTCATAAATGTAAAACACTTGAGGTGTTCCTCAAAGCTCCGATCTTCATCCACTTTGTTTTTATTATTTCAAAAGAAATGCACATCAAGAGTTAGTCATTTTCATCCATCAACGTACAATCAGTATAAGTACATTATAGTACAAAGTAGACAAATTAACAAAAATGTTATTTTTTGGAGAAAAAAATAGAATAATAATAATGGAAAATAAAAAGTATTTTCCATCTAAAAGGATCATATCAGGTTTCAAATTTAAAAAAGTAATCCATCCATCCATCCATCCATCCATCCATCCATCCATCCATCCATCCATCCATCCATCCATCCTCCATCCATCCATCCATCCATCCATCCATCCATCCAGAGAAATTAATTTTTATGTTTTTCACCATTTGTTTTGATTATTTTTCTTCCTCTGTGTGTTTTATTGTCAAAGCAACCTGTCTCCCATCATCCTCTCCTCTCCTCTCTTGGCAATCTGCCGCCGTGTTTAAAGTGTAGCTGCTGCAGAGGGCCGGCCGCAGTGTGTGCAGCAGACAGTGGATCAGGGCAGGTCAATGAGCCGCATTGTCTCCCTTTACAAATCAGTGTCAGACAACCTTCTGCTTGCTGCTGGCTGAGCACACACACTTCACACTAAAACCACACACACACACACACACACAGTCCCCCGGGAGCCCTCTATAGGCCACAATGGGGTCACGCTCACCAGCAGAGATACAGATTGTATTTGACAGTCATTACAGGTGGCTTTTCACACATTTAGGAGCTCAATGGCGGCTCGAGTTTCAAATGGGAGTTAAATGGAGGGATGAGCTGACATCACGCGGCAACTTGATTTCAGCTGAGAATCAATTATTCATGTTGTTTTAACAAAACAGGGATACGCTCCTTTAACTGTGTCTGAACAAACATGGCTGCTTGTGTCTGAGTTTGTCTGGAAATTCACACAATGTAGGAGCAGATTTTAAAATGTTATAAAATTTATTTGATCAAAATTTTATTCAGTTATCTTTAGTTATAAGATAACTGAATAACCTACATTTCATGACACTTTTAAGTTTACTAATGAGACCAAACAGATCTTGTGTTTGTTTAGTAGCTGCATTTACACTACAAATGTGTGCAAAATGTTGTAAATGTTCCACCAGTACCGAAAAATATTATGATTGTGGTATTTCCATTAAATAACAAATTAAAATCACACGTGAAAAAGTTTGTTCACTCTTTAAGTCGTTAAAAAAAACATAATCCTCCAACTACTTCCAGTGGTCTTCCTCTTCTTGGTTTTTGGCAGGAGCAACTTCCGGTTACTGATCATGTGACTCATGTGATGAGAAAAAAGTGCTTCCATCGCAGTTTTTGCGAAATACATAAATTTCGGTATGGCCAAAAACCTTTTTTTACAAAAAAAAAAAAAAAAAAAAAAAAAAAAAAAATTTTTTAAAAATTGGCATGTTCCCAAAAAGCGGATTTGTTTTCAAAATGTCAAATTGCGTAATTATATGGTCAATGGAAACTCAGCTAATGATAATCCTCCAACATTTACTCAGTTGTAGAATTAAGGAGAGAATATTATTGGGTTTAAAGCTGTTGACAAAGCCTTTGACCAGGAGCTGAAAGCAGATTGACTTTGAATGAAGGACAGAGTGAGTTTTTTGGGGCGGCAAAAGAGCGACAGACCGTCCGCTTGTTTAAGCGGCCTCCTAAATTCATACGTCGCAGCTGTATTCAAACATCGCGGATGGAGAAGGTGGGAGGCGGCCGAGAGCCGAAAGAGGAGTGCAGCGGGTCCTGGGAAGGAGGCGTGGCGGCCCGCCCCTCATTTTCCGGCTCATTTCCCGGGACAGAGAGGAACAGAGCTCCCGTTTTACCTCCAACAGACACCTGCTGGTCACTGGGGGAGGAGAAGGAGCCGGATGGGAGGCGAAACTTTAACCAGTTCACAAGTTACAGCGCCGATTAAAATGTTGACTTACCCCTTTTATTGCTCTTACAAATAAATCATGAACAGAGCTGGAGGACTAAAACTTGTACTCCGGTAACTTACTAACTAACTAACTTGAGAAACCTTTTGGAATAAATGCGTGTAATGATGTGAAAAATTAGACACGTTCTTGAACAACTCAGAGCATTAATTTAACGTAACACAGATAACTTAGTGCTAGCGAGTGCTAGCTACCACAATGTCCGTTAGTGATGTGCGGATTGATACTGAAATATTGATACTTCCGATTCCAGACCTTTATGCCTTAAGATCGATTCTCAAATCCAATATCAATACTTTCAGTAATTAGAGACAATGTATCTTAACAAGAGCACGTTAGAAAGTAGCTAAATTATTAAAATCTTGCCTACATGAGACAGGGTTGATGGGAACTACGTTTTCTTCCGCCTGGTAAGTGCGTAAGGACGTAATACGTCAGGACGTAATGGTGGGTCATGTCTATGATTAGACGCAATGGTAGATCAACTTTCAACTTTCATTTTATAGTAGTTAAAATTTATTTTACTTTTTTTTTTCTAGTTTGCAACATCATTTTCACATATTTCGTATGACTTTCTGCTGTTGTCAAAATAGCCAAGCTATTGTAAATGTGCTTCTGAGTTTAAAATGAATACATTAGAGTGATGTTTTGTTTTCTTTTTATGAAGCCAAGATTTGAAGTATCGCTACGCTTACTTGAGTAAAATTTCTGGATACTCTTCTCTCTGCGAGTAACTTTACTGAAGGAAGAACAAGCTTATTTTGACCAAAATTTCACCAGACTTACAGTTTTTGTTAAATAATTCACAATCTTTAATTTATTGCAGAAATACCCTAATTCACCTCATTCTGCTTTATTTGTCTTCTCTTTTTGTTTCAAAGTGACATTTAAATAATTGAGTTTTCCTTCTTCATTAGTCCATCTGAATCAGTCCTATTGACAGTGAACTAGCTCCACATCATGATGCTACCTTCGCCATACTTGACACTTAGGCATCTTGGAATGTTTTACATCATTAAACAAGTTTTTAAGTCAGACAAAGACAAACTAAGAAAATACAAAACAGTCTCTAAATGTTAACATTTGTTGAGAAATAACTTTTACATTCCTGTTCTCTTTCTCTGGAGTATTGTTTTAATTGAGCTGCATTGGACGTTTTAGAGGAGAACAAGCCTAATTACAGCTTTTCAACTAGATTTAAGTCCATATTTTGACTAGGTCTTTGCAAACATTCATTTTATTGCTTTTAGCCACTCAGAAAAGAACCTGCTGGTTTACTTTTGATCAGTTTCTTGCTGCATAAACCACCATATTTGCCTGCTAGTTTAATTTATAGTCTTAGATATTCTTGGGTTTTTTTGTTTGTTTTTTTGAGGGCGGGTTTCCTGGATTATATTTTCCAAAGATAAATAAGAATACACACATAAAAACCTTTGCTTGCCTCAGTATGACTTAAACATTTATTTTATAATGCAATAATTACTTGTTACAGAAAGTTTTAAAATGAAACTATGCAGAGTGAAAACTGTAAGGCATGCAAGAAACTTTGCATAGGTCTAGAATGGCAACATGTAGCGCTAACATGGGGCCGCCAGTTAGTTACCGTTCTTCTTCTGAGCTTTTCAGATACAATGGGGAAAATAAAGCAAAAACTTTCACTTAAAGGAAATTAACAAACGGAAATAGTTTAATAATGAGTAACAGAGCAGCATCAAATGGGAAAAAAGAAAAACAGAAACAAGGGACAGAAAAAAAGAAAAAAAAAACACTGCATGTTTGGGTAGAATGGTCACAGCGCCCCCTGCCTCTGAAAAGACGTAACAACAGTCTTTATATTTGTTAATGTTCACTTCATGGATAAATATCTTGAGCAGCTGAGGTGAGGTTTAAGGGCAGGAGGGAACGTGGGACGAAGCAGCGCCTCCCTCTGCCTGACCCAGGAGGCGCTCGGTTTCGCTGCTCTGGGAGTCGGGGCTTTCCTCCGCCGGGCTGGGCGGGCCGCAGAGACCCAACACCTGCTTCACCTGACGGGGAAGATCCTGGAGGGGACAGTTATAACGCTAAATCAACTGCTGCATAAATAAAACTGATCAAATACTGCGTGGCTCTGGAGTATTAGGGCCAGACAAATAAAAAATCTAAACATGAGAATGAAGTAATAATATCAGAAGAAGGTTGTAATAATATAACAAAAAAATCATAATACTTAGATAAAGTAGTAATATAACGAGAATAAAGTAATAAAATTGACAGAATATAGTCATGATAATTCAAAAAAGTTGTAATAATACAGGAATGAAGTCAAAATATTACCAAAATAGTCATTACCAGAATAAGTTTGTAATGTGAGAATAAAGTTGCAATAATACAAGAAAAATCATAATAATATGAGAATAAAGTCAAATTATTATTCAAAATAACATTGTAATATTCCATTTACCAGAATAAAGTTGTAATAAAGTGGTGATAAAGTCATACTAATATGAGAATAAAGTTGTAATATTACCAGAATATTCTTTTACAATGAGAAACAAAAAACTAAGAGTTAAAATGTTGACTTGATACTCAACATTTTGAGAAATCTGAAAAGTGTGGTGTGTATTTATTCTCAGCCTCTCTGAGACAACACTACCTCTTAGCTGGCTTCACTAATTTGGTTGCAGTGGATTTTATTTACATTTTTTAGCATAAAACTCCACATGTTATAGTCCCGATAAAAAAATGCAGCACTAACTGTTTACAGGACGACAACCAGTGCAGCTTTACTCACTTTGCAGCCAACAAGCTGCCGGTAGATGACCTCCGCCTCCAGCAAGACGCTCTGCAGGTCCAGCTTCATCGTCAGCTCGTTAATATGCTGCAAACCAGTCAGGACAAAGAAGTCAAATTCAACCAGCATTTCAAAGATAAGTTTTCAAACGTTTTCAGCATCACTTTGGAGAGAAAACCCTTAGAAAAGAACTTAAGAAGGTAGTTTTAATTCACTAATATATGAAACTGGAAATTGCAAGAAAATATCCAAAGTTTTGAGATTAACCTCAGAAATGATCCAGAAAAAATTTGAACATTCCTAAATTTCAAAAGTCTAAATTTGAAACTTTTTCTATAAAATTTCTGAAACTAATCTAAAAATTTCTGGAGTTTTTTCAACCAAATTTTCAACTTTTAGCTCAGAAATTTCCATGCTTTTCTCTTGAAAATTTGTGAAATCAATTTCAAAATTTCTGATTGTTTTTATTCGAAATGTTCTCCTTTTTTAATCAACAAAGGCCCAAATACACCATCATATTAAACAAAATAAACAATCCAAACAAATTGTGTTAAAATAAAGGACCTTTCTGCTCGAATTAAATGATTAAACACAAAATATAAAGAAAGTCCAAAAAAAAAATCTATAAAAAATGTTCTGGCTATGTTTTTGCATTTAGCAAATATAAATAATTCTGGGGATGCTAACCAACCTGAAACAAGAAAAGTTTATTATGATTTAACTTCAGACTGATATTTTTTAAAAATCTTTTTATCAGATGTATGAAAATATCTCAACTGTAAATAACGTTTTCCAAATTTAGGCTATTAGACTGCACTTTATTACAAAACTGTGCAGTTTGAATATCAAATACTTCCAAGGACTTTATGCAGAAATCAAAAACGTAATTGAATCCAAGGATTTTCCAGGATTTCCAGCACTATTACCCTGAAATATGTAACTATCATTTGAATATTAGTGATGGTGACGGCTGACCTTGAGGATTGTATTGAAGTCGTGGTCGGAGCCGATCAGCTCCCCTCGCTGCGACTCCAGGATGGAGCAGGCGATCAGCAGGTGGAAGTTGTCACACGGGAGTCGAGTCCAGAGGACCTGGAGGAGAAAACATGCAAACAGGAAGCAGTTTTAGCTTCTAACTTTGATTGGCTGTGCAGCTCTGAGGTTCAGTTTTTAAAAATTTGTAGTGCCACGCTGATGTTCTTTGAAAATTGTTTTATTCACAGTTTATCCGTAGTTGTTTATTTTTTAGCCGTTATGAGGCAAGGTGGGAAAGCCTTAAACTGCTGCTGCAGATGCTACTCAAGTTGTTGCTAGGTAACCGAAGAGTGAGTGAGTTAGTCGATTCCACCAACCTTGCTTACCTTCTTGTCAGCTAAAGCTATTCCTCTGCCAACATCCCCCAGAATGCTTTGCAGTTTTGGATCGGACTTCAGTGAAATTATTGCTTATTTTATTATTGATATTGATCATGTGTCTATCGTGATAGACATTATTATTGATTTATTGTCTAGTCTTAAGTTTTTGCATTAAAAGACAACAACATTGCTTTAAGCTAAACCAACGGAGTTCAAACTTCAAAGTGGGATTCGGGGGCCATTTGATTGATATTGTATGGTCCTCCAAACACAATTCAAAAACAAATTAAATAAATGAGGACAAAACTACTATTTTTAAATTACAATCTAGTTACAGAAATTTTAGATGCAACACAAAGTGATCATATTTTTCAAGCTTTTATTACTTTATTTGTTTAATTAAAATAGTTCATGCTTAGTTTATTGTTGAGAATTCACATTTTTGGTGAATTTAGTTCTTAAAAATCAGATTTCTTTAGCTTGTGAGTGCTTGAGAGTTGATGACTTTGACCCATGTTACAAAAAGTTTTGACACCCTGATCTAAACTAAGAAAAAGCTGATGCAAGATTTTAATTAAATGAAAAATTAAGCTAATTTTTGATTACTCAAAATATATTTTATCTGTTTGCGAAAGGCTCACCCTAATTTTTTTTTTTTAAAGTTACCATTTGCATCAACTGTTTGTGAATACAACATTTCTGAACTGTTGTCTGGGACCAAACAAAGTCATTCAGAGGACTACAAATGACCCAGTTGTGCCATATTCTTTCCTATCCTGGATACGTGATGTCTCAAGACGACAAGCTGTATCCTTTTGCTCCCACTTCACACAATAAATCAGGCTACTATGAGAAAATTATAACATTTGGTTACGATCCGACACTCACCTCCCACAATGTGAGGATGTCTTCAAAGGAAAACTCCCTCTTGAACCAGATGAGCAGCCAGCGGAAACAGAAACAAAGCGAGCCGCTGTCCTGTGAATCTGAGCGACAAAAATAAGTTTTCATAAATAATAATAAAAAAACACTCTAAATTATAGATATTTGCAGCAGCTGACATGCTCTTAAAGTCTTATTACCATCATTTGGGGCATTTATTGTAATATTGATAAAACAGAATGTTTACAACTTCTTTTCTGTCTCTTTTAGGCAACTGCATGTCGCTGCTGTCAAAGAAAAGATAAAATACTGCCCTACATTCAACCATACTTTTATATTAATTGATGCTCTAATTATTATTAATTTTCAATGATTAATCAAACATCTAAAAATCAACTACTACATGAGTCGCCAACGGGCCAATTCTAAAAATTACTACTGAACAGTATCTATTTTTTTTTATTTTTAGCTATTCTTTTTCAAATCACCTTTGAGTAGGTGTAAATTTAAAATTTACTATACATTTTTTTTAATATTGAATATTAGACTACATTTTTTTAAAAACCGTTGGCCTCCACCAATGGTTGCCGTGGAGACCGGCTAGCGCTAGCTGGTCTCCACGGCAACGAACCGTTGGTGGAGGCTAGCTAGCAGGCTGATTGAAGGTAAGATTATTTGCTCTCGAAAACATGGCAGAGAAAATAAAGAAAACATCTAGTTTTCACAGTTAATACGAGGAAGAATTTTTTTAATCACTGTGAAATTTTCCTCCGCGTGTCTCATTTGCGTGGCGACGGCAAAGCGACGAAATGTTGAAAGATATTTTCGAACGTGTCACACATCAAGCTACCATGCTAACTACCCACCGGGCAGCGCAATACGAGCCCGGAAGTTAAAGGCAGGTTTGAGAAAGTCTTCTGTTTATTTTTTCCATTCTTCTGAGTTCAGTAAGTGTTTAAGTAAAAATCAGAAAGTTGATTGTATGCTACGTTATTAATCATATTTGCAAAAATGGTGCACGTAATGTAAAACTGATCGTTTGCAAACTTAAATACTTGCAGAGCTTGATATAAAGTGTTACATATTAATATTTATCCGTTTCCTAAATTGTTCAATCATTGTTGACATTTATTGTGATGAGTAATTAACATGACCTATGTTTTTGCATAGATGAATATCATTAATCAGTAATAATATATGATTAAAAGTAAGTTGAGCAAATTTGTTATTCAATACATGTGTCGTCAACTGCTAGGCTTTTGCATTAATTGGTACCCAAGGAGTGGCTCTAAGTTTCAAAAAGATTTGTGATCCCTGCTGTAATGGAACCAATCACAGAAAACATGGTGTAAATTACAGTTTTTAGGGTTTTCTAACAAAATTCTTCAAAGAAATAATTCACAATAAATGTCAGTTACCAATATATGTAACACAAGTAGATTTTATCTTTTCCACTGAATAATTACATTGAATTTCCACAACAGAATGACTTTAAAAGTATCAGTAATATTTTTTTACTCCATTATGTTTAAATTATCTACTTAACTCTAAACAAATGCCAGCACTCCACAAAGTCAATGTATTTGTCTTCTTTTTGTAAAAGTTGAAATAAAATAGTTGTTCTTTAAATCTGACAATAAATTCCCTATACTAGATATTTACCAAACCTTGAGTTAGGTTTGAGTTACCAAAGCTCAACATTTGGGGATCCAGGTAAGTTTTATTAACTCAACTGAAGGTAAAAATGGTTCTTTGGGTTGTAAAGGTTGCAGACCACTGGTTTGATAGTATTGTTTCCTTTCTTCCTTTTTTTTTTGACCAACTTTCCCCCAAATATTTGCATTTTCCCCAGGACTGACTGGGGCTCATTGCGCTACCAGACTTGCCCAGTTTGACTGGGAGAACGGCAGCAGAACTAACCCAAGAAGTCGCACAGCTCTGGGTCCAGAGCCTTCAGAAGGATGCTGAGCTGAAGGAGCTGCTGCTTCATGGCCTCCTGCGACTCCTCAAAGTTCTGGTGCTGCAAAAACACAACGAGCAAAAAGATACAAGAGTGTACTTTCCAAACTCACGACAAACTCAACAACAGCATGGAAGGCCAAATGGAAGCCTCTTGGAAAAAAATGTCAATAAAACCAAAGGAATATTTCAAATTAAAAACATTTTGTGGTAAAATTGAGAAGAAAAGGGAAAGTTCTCAACTGACCACCAGGTCCATGAAGCCCGTCAGGCACCAGAAAGACTCCACCTCGTTCTGAGTGACAAACAGGATTGGAGAGAGGAGGTCGCTCATCCCCTGGACATAACCTGGATCGTGAACAAATGTCACCGTCAATAATAATAATAACTAGAACATTTCTGAAGAAACTTAAAAGGGTCCCAGCTAAGTCTGCATATCAGTTGGACCCGAATCAGGCGTTCCGATGCTGAAAATTAGTAACAATGTCAACGTTAGCTAAAAGGTTGTCAGCAGGTAAAGTATGTTGAAATAAAACAAAACTGACAAGTAACTTTTCACCAAAATATAAGAGTTTGTTTTAAAAAAGCTCCACCGGCAAATTATTTCACTTATAACAAAAACATTTTTCCTGTTTTACAAGTGAAATAATTTCCCAGTGGAACTAACACTTTTGATCAATATTAAGGAATTATCGGCTTAAAACAAGCTTTGACATCTTGCCATATGTTACTTGTAGGTTAGTTTTGTCTTATTTCAGGAGCACTAAGATATTTGGACTACAAACTATCTAAAAAACACTTTGTAAGATTTTATGTTTTTGCAGTGTCAGGGGATTGGAAAAAAATTCTGCAGAGTTGCAGTGATTGGTCAGAAAAATGGTTGCAATGTTGCATTAATAGTTGCAACATCACAACTTCCTGGAGGAATTACACAGCAGCAAATGGCCTAGTCGTTGCATCACCAAAATTTCTTCCATTTTGGTCAGAATGAAGGAAGACAAATGCAATCCGTTCCTTCATAAAAACACACCAAGATCGAAGTTGTACATGCAGTATGTCATCAGAACGTCGTGGAGCAGAGTCAGGCCCGGGTTGTCATTGCCGGAGAAGAATGTGTTGTTCCTGTCCGTCCTGTTGACGTCCCGCTCTGTGGAGGACAGCAGCACAAAGCATCAGGAATCTGCTGCAGGGCTCACACAACAAAACAGATGTTTTGTTATTTGGCGACCTATCAGGCTCCTGTAGCCTCTGAGGAGGGAGTTCCTCATCTCCTGCTCTTCACTCACGGACTTCCACTGCACCTTCATCCGGAAGTATTCGTCCCTGCAGATGAGACGAAAGACGTCTTCGTCAACAGTCTGAAACGATTCATCGTCATAGACCTGGAACTGCAGCTAACAATTATTTTAAAGGTTGATTGAATACTTTCTATTACTAAATTGGTTGACAGTTATTTCCATAACAGATTAATCATGATTAATTAATGAATCGTTTCATTATTCTTGATGATTAATTGATTAATCGGATAATAAAATAGCACATTTGCATACATTTCACTCCAGCCTTTTTTATGTAATATAAATAAAACAAAAATGCAAATAAAATATTGTCTAGCTTAGTGGTTCTTAACCTTTTTTGAGGTACCGAACCCCCCAGTTTCATATGCGCATTCACCGAACCCCCCAGGTAAACCCCCTGTATGTCTTTACCCCGCAGAGGTAAAGACACACAGTGTGTCTGTACCTCCACGGCAGAGGCTCCGCCGAACCCCTGAGACCGACTCATCGAACCCCTGGGGTTCGACCGAACCCAGGTTAAGAACCACTGGTCTTGCTTCACTAAACGAATGCCGTCATTGCATTTTAAGCAATAAAATTTTCTTTTTCTTATTTAAGAAAGGAATTGAATTGTTTATGTACGTCTTTTAATATTGTATAAGAAGGCTTAAATGAACAATCTGCAGAATGTCCCCATTTTATTTATTCGATTGATCATCAGAATAATTGATTAATCAGAGCACTGACGTTTTGAATCGAAGAATTTCCTCTCTTTCCTTTGAGGTGCTCTTCCACGGATAGAAACCAAGGAGGAACTTCCACACTTCTTTCCTGAGGTTTGGAGTGACGCCCTGCAAAGTTTAGGAACATTTAGCTCCAGTAATGTTCCAAATGAACAGCGTTTTTTACTCTTTGTCCTGTCGTACCCCTCTGAACACCAGGTCTTTGACTTTCTCTGGGTCTTTCACGCGGCCTTCCGAGTCCAAGAACTCCTCCCACTGGACCAGAGCTTGTCCTCGAGTAACGTTGGGCCTGGGACCGAGCTCCACACCCTGCAAGGGGACATACAGCCAAAAACACCAGGAGCTCAGACCTGTTCACGACTCTGCACCGCAAAAACACAGAATTTACCAAGTATTTTGTTTTGCAAATATCTTAGTACACTTAGTATACTAATAGAATAAAGTCATAAAATTATGAGCATAAAATCATAAGACAATATGGCATAGGAGAATAAAGAGAAATAATATGCTAATAAAGTCAGAATATGTTGAGAAAAAGTCAGAAAATTTTGAGAAATAAAAGTCATAATATTACCAAAATAAAGTAAAATTAAAAAAATAACATGAGAATAAAGTCAGTATCAATTTTAAGGAAATTGATTTTCCTTAAAAAAATATTTTTTTAAAAATTGGCAGTTTATTTGACTTATGTTTTTTTTTTGCCCCCATGTTGTAAATGTAATAATATAGTTGTGCAACTAGAACTTTTTCATTATTTTTAGGGAATTACTGACTTACATCAAGCTCCTGTATCTTGCTGAAAACTTACCTCTAAGTTAATTCTGTCTTATTTCAAGTGTACTGAGATATTTGCACTAGAAGCTAAACCAAAAATACTTGGTAAGATTTTGTCTTTTTGCAGTGAGCCATGTTGCTTTTGCGTCTTTTTCTTACACAGGTGATGAGCTCGAACCCAGGCTCGTCATCGGGCTGTGACGGCAGACCTGGATCCTGAGCGCCTCGCATCACAGCGGCCTCTGGTGGCCGGAGGGCAGCGCGGAAGAAGTTGGTGACCTTGGAGAATCCCCCGAACGTAGTGGCGTACGGGTCGTGGATGAACCTCTGCTCGAGTTGGAGAAACAAAACATTACTGAAAAATACAAAACGTTTGGGACGTTGGGAGATGATCCTGGAAGTACCGTGACGATATCAGAGCCATCATCCGGGATGTGCAGTTTGTCGAAAGATGGACCGAAATCAGCTGAAGACGAGTCGCGTGGGTAGACGAGGAAGAGGCGTCCGTCAACAGGCGACCTGATGATGAACCATAAACCTTCGGTATTACAAACCATCATGGCAGAAGGTACGACCACTGCTCTCTGGTTTGCCTCTTATTAGGGGGGTGCACTGATTTATCAGCCCCAAAGTCCTTAACTTTGGGAGATGGTGGTCGGCCGATACTTAGATGTGAAGCTGATCTTATCTACCTCAACAAAAGTCTAAAAATCAATCACTGTCCTCTTTTGCTCTCCTGTGAGAAAAGTTTGACTGACAGACCGGACCACCAGGTCATGTCTGCATGTTTACAGTTATCAATAATCACCAACTCAGTGACTTTCAATATTTAGAGATGTTTCAGACAAAAAACCATAGCGCTTCAGTGTGACATCACAGTTCTTCCTTTGGGCATGCAGAAGTGTAATTACGGTCAAATTTAATTAGTGATATAAACCGACAACACACAACGATGCAAAACATCTCCAAACAAACAGAAAGAGGAAGAGGAACTAAAATCAACATCCCAGAACTCTGCGTGATAACAGGCGGAGCAAAAAGGTTTGACGGCGTGTCGAGGACATTGCAGATAGAAAAGAAAAAGTAAACTTCCACCAAAAAAAGTCTGACATTTTTATATTTATCTCAGAAAACTTCTAGAGAAAAAAATGGAAATTTCTAAGTTTAAAAAGTCAAAAAATTTGTTAGAAAAAACTAAGAAATTTTGAGATAAATCTCAGAAATTATATAGAAAAGGGATGGAAATTTCTGGTTTAAAAAGTTTAAAATTTGCTAAAAAAAAAAAAATTAAATTAATCAGAGAAAATTACTAGAGAAAAATTGGACATTTCTGACTCTAAAATGTCAAAAATTTGCTAGAAGAACTCAGAAATCTTGAGATGAAGCCAAGAAATTTTCCAAAAAAGAAAATTTTCTAGTTTGAAAAGTCAAAAAATTTTAGATTTTTTTTGTTTAAGAAACACTGAATTTAATCTCAGAAATTTTCTAGAAAAAAAACATGAAAATTTTCACAGCATCAAAAAGCGAAAATGTTCGGTCACATTCAAAAGTGATAAAGTCAAAAAGTTTAACATTTTCACTTTCGAAACTCAGAAATTTTGAAGCGTTTTTTCTCAAAGATTTCTGAAATTATTCTGTGTAAATGTGCTCCTTTTTTCCATGCTGTCAAACCGGGTGTTTGACAGCAGGCTGCTGATAATCATGGTGCCGGTGATTTTTTAAACTGTGCTGGCCACACTCACTGGTCCAGGACGATGTAACGGTGGAGAGCCCGCAGAAGCTCCCTGGTTCCGCCTCTGTGGAAGTGCAGAGGGGGCAGCGGGTGTCCTCCTCTGCTGGTCAGCACCATGAAGTTCCGACCCAAAGAGAAGCGGGCCCTCCGGAGGGAGTACAGCTCCGACAGAGGCAGGGAGAACGCCCACTGACCTGTGGGATAAAAGTAAAATTCAGAAACACTTTATTAGTCCCAAAGGGAAATTAAATGTTGTAACTCATTAATTTAGATTCATGAAAGAGTTATTGAAAATCATGATGGCTATTGGCAGGAAAGATGTTCTGTAGCAGTCTGTACTGCACTGAATCTGAAGAAGCCTCTGACTGAAGATGCTCTGCCTTCCTAAGACACTCCTATGAAGAGGATGGTCAGGTGGTCCATAATTTCCTTGATCCTATGAAGAATCCTTCTTTGCATTATCTTCTCCAGAGGTTCCACAGTCGTCCCCAGAACAGAACCAGAACCAGAACTGAACCAGAACCAGAACCAGCCGTCTTTATCAGGCTGCTGAGCCTCTTTAGGTCTCTGCCTCTGATGCTGCTGCCCCAACAGATGACGGCAGAAGAGATGGCGCTCTCAACAGACTTATAGAAGATATGCAGCGTCTTGATGCAAACCTTGAAGGATCTTACCTTCTTAAAAACCCAGGATTTTAAGAAAAAGCTGCTTATCAATTAATCATTCTTCGATCACCAACACCAATCAGATTTAGATTAATTCATTCATCTATAGCTTGCATCCGTAGCTATGACTGTAGGAAGCAGGAAGTAAAACCTGAGTCTTTTATGGGGGCGTGCTCGCGATCTTTCTTCACGGTGCTGATCACCGCCCAGTCAGGCTCATACCCAGGGTCAAAGTTCGTGTCCTCCTCACCTCCCTCGCCATCCTGATTAGAAACGGACAAATCAATGGAAATTAGAACAAGTACAAACATTTCTGAGGCTTTTCGCAGGCAGTCAGCTGACCTTTTTGCTGTAGAGGACTGCGGGCGCGCTGCGACCCTCGTCCTCCAGGGGGCTCCACTCTAAAGCAGGCTGTCCGGCCTGCAGAATGTAAAACATAAAATCAGTTCACCCTGCGCTTTACTGGATCCTTGTTTATCTCTTGGCAGATCTGCCTACCCGTTCCACAATGCGAATAAATCCTGGTATGCTGGTTTCCTGGACGCTCCTCTTGGCGTTTGTGTGGAGGTACACGCCCTCTTTCTCAAATATCAGCTGAGAAGAAAAGAAATCCTCAGTTAAACTTCTACAGTGAGCCAACGGTGACACTGACTGGACAGAAGTGTGGAAATAAATTGGTTTTAAACCATCTAATATGGTTCGTATTAAACAAAGTCTAATACAAACTTTGTGTTTTTGACCAAAACGGAGAAATAACTTAATTATTCCAACAAGTGACACTGTTGGGAAACAATTAACTAATCACAGACAATAATTACGGCAGGATGGCTTCATCTTCCTTTTTCCAAAGCCCACCAACACATTATTGTTGACAATTATCATTAATTTTAAAACCTTTTCCATCTTTAATACACCATAACTGAACTTTTGACAAAATGTGTTCATTTTACACCTTTCTTATCTGTATTTTAACATCCTGTGTGCTTTCCTCTGTCACTTTCTTTGCCTTGAAGTGACACTAAACGCTTTTGTTTGTCTTATAAATCATACTACATAAATACGCTTTGATAGCAAATCATTTGAGCCAAAAAATATATATAAAAAAAAAACAGTAAAATAAACCGATGCAATCTTAAAGCACATTTGGTGTCACCTTTGAGTTAATGCCTGCCATGAGACAAATTAACTTTAAATAATGTGTTTATGCTGGACTTTTGTGATTGCTTGTTTGTATCTATTAGCTACAGCCATGGACTACAGCAGGGGTGGGCAATCCTGGTCCTGGAGGGCCGGTGTCCTGCAACTCTTAGACGTCTCCCTGGTCCAACACACTCGAATCCAACAGCAGAATCACTGAATCACCTCCCAAGTGCAGTCAGGTTCTCCATAGTCCTGCTGACGACCTCATTATTTGACTCAGGTGTGTTGAAGTAGAGACACACCTAAAAGTTGGAGGAGACTGACCCTCAAGACCTGGAGTTGCCCACCCTGGACTAAAGAGTAGTAGTCCTTTTGGATACAATACAAAAAGGTGTAAAAAACAAACAAAAAAAAAAAAACACAATGGAAAGAACTGGCAGCATCATACAGTGGGGTTACTTTTGTCAGATTGATATAGGATTTTAATTTGAAATTGAAGAGCCTTAGAAGATGTTTGCAAGGAAATTTTGTAAGCAAAGCTGATACAAGAATCCTGATGAATAAAATGTAACTGATAACATTTATCTTTTATATTTAGTGGCAATTAACACCAAATGTCACCATAAGCTACTTTTCAAGAAAAACCAGTTAAATATGTAGAAATGTGATACAAATTAATTGTTTTAAGGTTAAGATTACTGCACCTTTTTTATTTTCATTTATTTTTTACGAGGTTGTTTTCGTGTTTGTTGGATAAATTACAGAGAATGTGGGTAACTTTTTTTTTATCATGCTCAGTCTTTACAGGACAGAAACCTGAGATTTTTACATGATTAAATAACTTTAACTTTCAACATCTTAACGTCCAACCAAAAAGCTTTAATCTAGATACTTTTAGGACATGAGAAAGCTAGAGATGGAAATGAGACAGGTCATGTCACATGATTACGGTGACTCATCTGTCAGATCAAAATCCCAACACATTCAAGAAAAACTTGCTTAGACTTTACCAGTTTTTACCTAACTTTCTACACAGCACGCTTTAGTATCAACAAGATGAATCACATCGTTATGGTGGATCTACGGGACAGGTTTCCATTTTTTATTTCAAGCCCATTGTCAAAGATGAAGCAGATACTGTCCTGGATTAATGTTTCAACGTTACCGAGCTGCTGTGCTAACCTTAAACCTCAACAGCAGCTTTATGTTAGCAAGACAAATTAGTTAGAGAAACTATTAAAATAAAACATTAAAGAAAAACGAAAAAAATAAATAAATACCTTGTAATCTTCCACGTTTTCCCCCATTTTCTCGTCGCTTGAGTCGCTGCTTCGCTTCTTCCAAAACAAACGTGACGTCACACTTCCTGTTCATGGAACGTCCCGCCCACCGAGCGGTCATGTGACACGAGAGCCAATCAGAATGCACTTATAGCTACGGTTGAAGTCCACGATATTATAATACATAACCACGCAGACACACACTTTTAGAATGTTGTACATTAATATTTAAACAGAATATATAGAGTTTCATGTCAGATTATAACTTTGTTTAAGTTCTGCACGATGACCACCAGGTGGCAGCAAACCTTTTATTATTATTTTTTAAATTGTTATTATTAAGGCTCATCTATTACCTCTTTTACTATATTGCAACTACTCAATACAAAATAAATAAAATTAAAACATAGGTATAAATAAACTAAATACAATTGTAAGTGATACTGGCGGTAAAACAAATTTTTCAATGATATTCCTTCATATCTTTCACCCTCATTATGTGATTTAATCTTATACATTTGTAGTTTCATTACACTTTGAATTATTGTTTATATTGATATGCATATTTATGATCAAGGAACACTTATGTCATTTTTTGAATTTATTTTATATTTTTAGTTCAGTTATTGTGTTAAGATATATTCCGCGATCTTGCCTTGATATTTGTTGCTATGTGTCTGGAGCGTGCAGGTCTGTGTTTTAACCATTAACGAAAAGAGGTTGCTGCTCGTGCACAAGCAAATAGCGAAAACGTGCTCGTTCACAACCACTTGTCACGTCGGTAAACAGGTGACGTAAGAGCTTTGTCAAGTCAGAAACAAACCAGGAAAAGACAGGAAGTTCTTCTGATGTGTCAGTTACAATTTATTTTTAATATAGGTTGAGTTAATATCGTTTTGGATAGGAAAAAATTACGTATTGGTCCTTTGTTATACTTTATTATTATTATTATTATTATTATTATTATTATTATTATTATTATTGTTGTTGTTGTTGTTGTTGTTGTTGTTGCTGTCGTTGTTGTTGTTGTTATACCATATATTTTTGTATTAAAAACCAGTTTTTCATTGCTGTTATGGAATATTCTAACTTTCAGAGAAACTGAATTCTGAGTTTTAATTTTCTGTAAGCCAGAGCCGTCGGAATTAAAAGAAATAATTTGAATTTATCACTGTGTGCAATTAAACCTTGTAATATAGAAGCATTTCTTTTTAAATTTAAATTTACTTAAATTTACTTTCTCAATTATATGCTTATTTGTTTAGATTAACCTGCAAATTGGGCATGTCTGTCTCGTGAAATTGGAACTCCATTATTAAATTAAATGGAAATAATTTAAGAGACTTAGCTTGAAATTACTGTTTATAAAACATTTTGATAATTATTTTCTTATAATTAAGAAACATTTTTAAAAATTAGTACTTCCAAATAAAATTAGAAAGTTAGATAAAATAAATAAAATTGTCCATTATCATTATTATTATTATTATTATTATTATTATTATTATTATTATTATTGTTGTTGTTGTTGTTGTTGCTGCTGTTGTTATTTTCCTATTATTATGATTATGGTTATTATTATTAGCAGATCTGCTTTTATTTTGAAATCGATAACCGGATATTGTAGCATCACCGGCTCCTAGCTTTCCTCCGCTGGTGTCGAGGCTAGCTGAGGGAGAGAAACCGTGGGAGAAGGGCAGAAAGCGTGGGGTAAAAACATTCATTAAACTCGGTTAACACCTGACAGCGGCAAAGAAAGAAACTGAACAGGCAAGTGGATGTGTTCCTCCTACTTTCCACCTCATTACTGCCGAGTCAGGTCTGCTCTTAAAGCCTGAAAAAGGAGGAGAGATGCGGATTCAACAGCAGCAGGAGGCTGGCTGCACACAACATTGGACTGAATAACAAGATAAACAACAACAGCTGCTGCAGCAGCGGTCGCAGCCGCAATGATAAGCGCAAAGCGTGCAGTTTTACCGGAGTTAACGTTGTCCGTGGGAAGGATTCATACGGAGCGGAGGCTCTGCTAGCAGGAGCTACAGTTAGCATTGCTAAGTGAAGGTGGAGGACGCTGCAGCAGTTACAGCAACACACTGGTGTCTGCAGGTTTAACTGTACATATCTGAGTTCCGATCCATAGTTATAGTTTGCACAACAGAGAAACAAACACTGAATGGTTTCTACATCACAACTTAAACGATCAAAAAGCTTAAACTTGAGTCTCTACTCCTCGTATCCCAAAAATAGTAAATAAGGGCTCAAATACATAACTAGCTTATGACTTTAATGTGACTGAATATTACACCACTATTGTTGACATGATTTGTCCATGTCTTCTTGGATTTGCGCGTACTAATCGAGATTAATCGATTATTGAAGTAATTGTCAACTAATTTACTAATCAATTAATTGGAGATGCAAAAACGGACCTGATGTTGGAAAAAACATATTCAGAGCAGTAAATAATGCAAAGCTGTACAAAATATGTGCATTATGTATTTAATATCAAAACACTCTCTGTAAATATGTTTTAGCCAAAACTCCTCAAATGGCATTGCTTTGCTTCACCTGTTCGAATATGCTAGATAAGTACTCTTTTATTGCATTTTATGCTATAAAACATTTATTTTCTTATTGAAGAAGGAATTTGATTATTTCCCTATTTACATATTTTAATGTATTTCTAATATTGTATAAAAAATCCTTAAGTAGTTTAATGAAGAATGTGTCAGCTTGTGTTCAGTTAATTGTCAAAATAATCAATTAGTAAAGTGATAATTATTCCGAAAGCCTGGCCTTCTGTCTAGCAAAGAACGAATCTACAGCTAAAAGAGAGAATCCTCCTAACATCAAAATGTGAAAAGCTAAATCCTTTCTGCTTGATGCATTACTACAGTGAAGGGCTGATCTGTTGAATTATTTTTTTAATAAGGCATTAATAATTTGACAGAAAGAGACAATAGATTTTTTTTCACACAATTTGAACCGGATGAAGCTTGAATAATCCCTCTTGAGTTTTGTGTTGGACATTGCTAAAGTGTTTTTTTTAATTTTTTAAAATTTAATCTTAAATGCAAAATTCAGGTTCTTTTTGTACAGTTCTGACTTAACTACCCTGAATATGTTGTTCTTTCAGAAAATTGCCTTTTATGAAGCCTCTAAACTCCAGTTCATGATTAATTGTTTGCTAAATTTGTTGCCAGTTATTTAAATGATCGATTAATCACAACTAATCTGATTAATCATTTTAGCCAGAGTTTAAATAAATCGTAATAATTCCAAAATTAATGGGTGAAACTTGTGTCTGAATATTTTCTCTCTCTTTTTTTCCCAGGCATCATCTCCATCTCTCCCTTGGCTCTCACCACCTCCCAGCTACCATATCTTTAAGTCACCGTGTGCCTCCATACCTGATTATTTCACATTTTTACCTTCAGCCAAGCAGAAACACCAGCAAAGAAGCTTTAAGTAAAATCAGTCAGCAACCAAACTCAGTATTTTATTCAGTTTGGCACTTCAGTTCGTTTCTAATTAGTTTAAAATCCAAAGTTCCTTGTTGTTTTTCAGTGTTAGTTATTTTGTCAGGCCATTCTCTAAGATCACCATTATGGCCTCTGTAACCCACTCCTCTGAGCCGGAGATCCCAGACAACCACAAAGAGAGCTGGTTGGCCCTACTCTCCGCTGCGGAAGCCTATTGCCAAAAGTCCGGCTGCGACCTGGCCATCCTCACGGCCTGCAAGAAGTTCCGGTTGACGGCTGGTGAAGGTGAAGTCGGGAAGAAGCGAGAAAGCGGCACCGGTTTTCCAAAGGAATGTGAGTTCTCCTACAGGGTGTGGGGTCAGGGCTTCCTAGCCGAGTCGGCGCGCCGCTATGTGGACGACATCGGCGTGCTGCACGCCACGTCCATGCTGACGGCCCAGAAGCACATGCGGCAAAGCGCAGGAGAGCAAGGAGGCAAGCTGCTGGTTGATTTGACCTCTGACACCGGATACAGAGGGGTAAGTGGTAGGGGTTCAAGTAAATAATCGACTGACAAATTAACATTGGTTAATGATTTATTAGTTTAAAATTAGTTCCAGTCTATTAACTAGTGACGTCTTTTAGTGTTGTAGTTTGACCCCCATCCAGCAGAGGGCGGTGCTGGTTATCTTTAAGCAGATAATATGTTGGTACATAAACAAAGATGGCGGCAATATTCCAGAACGTCCCAAACAAAGTCTGGTTTGGGATGAAAAATGTCCTTTATGCAATGTTTCACTAGTTTACTTCTCTCGCATCGGATTTTTATTAACTTATTTATTTTTAGTTTCACAAGCGTGTTGTTGCTACCCAGGGTTTCAGAAGCCTTTTGATGTAGTTACACTTTGATGCAATAACAGTTAGCCGGTTCGACATTAGCGACGTATCTTGAGAATTTGAGAACATTTGCTCTTTATTTACCAAATTTATGAGGGAGAACGAAATATTTCAACCGTCTGAAGTAATCTGTTCCCCCTCCGTAGCTAATTATTCTTTCAAAAACTCCATAATATATTTATTTCTCTCATCATGAACAACAAAGATTTGTCAAAGTTACGGGGGTTAACGCAGAAAAATAGTAAGATGATGGGAAAAAAACATGGCGCCAATATGCAAGATTGACTTTTGGTGAGTTAAAGCGCTTAAAGGAGCGAAATAAAAACTCTTATATGTAGAAAAACCATTAGACGGTTTTCATGTTTTATTCTTTTATTTTTCTATTCAGCAACTTAAGAGGTTCCTGTTTTATTTTATAAATATGTCTAAGTGTATTAATGTGAGAAAATAATTTTCTGTTTATTCAGTCAGTTTTTAATACAGCTGATTTATTTTTAATTCAGCATATTATGAAAATAAAATGCAGCCTCTTTGTGTTATGGAAAGATACTCGTCCCTCTTGATAGAAGAGAAAAGTAATTAATCGACAACTTGCATCCCTAGTAAATAGGAAGATGTTCCACATTTTTATCCAAAGTTCCCGTTTAAAACATGTTTGAATCTCTGCAGAGCTTCACAGGCGACGGCGTAGTGGGCGGAGTCAGCCCCAACAACAGACTGTACTCCCAGAGCTACCCGTCCATCTACAGCCCGGACGACTCCAGCCAGCAGGGCAGCGGGCAGAACGGCAACCAGGAGCGGGAGCAGAGCGCCACAGAGGTGGAGCGAGGGAGACAGAGAGCCGGCATCGTGGACCTGGAGGAGGAAGGAGAAGAGGCGGAGGAAGAGGAGGAAGACATGGACGAGAGACGACCATACGGGAATGAAAGTGCAGGTGAGCAGATTGTTTTAGTTCAGTCCTGTGAGAAAGGAAATCTTCTTTCTTTCAGGAGGAATTAAAGAAAACTAAAATGTTACTTTCTCAGTAGATTTGAATATTAAACTCGAGGTTATGATTAAAGCGTGCAGACCTTCACTCTGCCAGGAGCAGAGGAGCCGAAAATGTTACTCAGGTTAGAGCGAAAAAGTATTTAGTAAAAAGTTTCCTCTAGTACCGAGTAACTGATCAAATTATCAATAACTTAATATTTAAAAATTACATCATCAGACGGACCAAAATATAAAGTTAAGTGGAAATTTTGGTATTTTAAAACTGAAAATGACAATTTGTGTAAAAAAAAAAAAATCAGGTAAAAAGTTTTTCTTCCAAATTAGTTTCTTTAAATAAAAAACTTATGAAACTTTATGATAAGCTGCAGGTGTGTCTGTCTGGTGAATTTTAGTTAAAACATGTTTGTTTTTCATTCAGTGGCTAGAAAATACAGAAATTTTACTCAAAGTAGAGAAACCTCAAAATAAAGTTACTCAAGTAAAAGTAAAATGTACAGCGTACAAACTAGAGTTGCGTAGTATAATACTTTTTGTTTTTACATTTCAAGTAAATGTAATTGACTAAATGTGACTAGTTATTGTGACCAGCAGGTTAAGCCATGAAAAACTTAATGTTGAAGAATCTGGGAGGACATAGAACTCCATCCAAACATATTCATGGATAAAGTGTGTTGGGGGAAAAAAGGCAAAACAGGGTAATTTGAAAAGTTTTATTCACTTATCTAAAATTAAGGCCTTATAATGTCCTAATTACACTTTGATGTTGACAAAGTTTTGCACACATTTGTAATGGAAACGCAGCTCTTGTGTCTCTAAACTCTAAACTCCTTTTTCAGTGAGTGAAAAAGGAACAAAAGTATAAAGGAATAGTTTGAAAGAAAGTCTGTAGAACCGTTTAACAAAACGACTTTAAAAGGGTAGAAAAACTGAACGTGAAATATTAAAAAGTCAGAATTTTATTGGATACTTTTTATATAGTTTACCCTAAATATGTTTTTGTTGGTTGCTTCTCTAATTTTTTAAAATTTGTAATCGGTTTTTAGGCGTTTTCTCCATGGACGAGGACTCTATTTCTCGTGACTGTGAGCCGTTCTTTGAGTCCGACGGAGAGGAGGAAAGCACCGACGGTAAGAGATTCATCGCCCCGCTCTTCTTCATCACGTACGAGTTTGGCTCAAGCGTTGCTTCTTCGTCCTGTCTGCGCCAGGCTCGCTGAGCGAGGACGCCCCGCCGCCGCCGCCGCGCGGCCTGGCCGTGGGGCAGCACGCCTTCTCGTCGCGCCACGCCCACCCCACGGCGCTGGCGCGCTCGCTGCCCGTGTCCGTCCCCGTGTGGGGCTGCAAGAGCAGCAGAGCCGCTCCGGGAGACAGCAACAGTGGAGAGCGGGTGAGCCGCCAGAAAACTTTTTAAACTTTTAACTGGTTTAACATTTTCAGCTTTAGGCTTTTATGAACCAGAGCTGCTCTGTGCAGCTTCTGAGGTTCTGGATAAAATCACAATAATACGCTGCTAAACACAACGAGGCTAAATTAATGAAGTTACGTCTCTGATTTATTACTTGGATAAAACTAGAGTAGAGCAGAAACTAGTTACATTTACTTAAGTAACTTTATGAAAAAAAACAACAACGTACTTTTAGGAGAATTTCTACTACGCTGTACTTTTTACTTTCACTTGAGTAAAATTTCTGGATTTTCTACCGACTGAATAAAAACAAACATGTTTTAACCAAAAACTCACCAGACACAGACTCACACCTGCAGTTTATGTTAAAGTTTAATTTGTTTTTTATTGAAAGATTCTGATTTGGAAATTTTTTTCTTTTGCCTGATTTTATTGTTGTCATAAGAATTATTGTAATTTGGTCCTTAAAATATCAAAATTTCCTCTTAACTTTGTATTTTAGTCCGTCTGATGATCTACTTTTTAAATATTTAATGATTGATCATTTGATCAGTTTCTCAGTACTTCAGTAGACTTTTTACCAAATACTTTTTACTTTTACTTGGGTATTTATGAATAAATCTAATTTAATTTTATTTACATTTTGATGGACACAGACTTCAGTCGATCTGTTGAAGAGCTTAGACTCAAAATCAATTTAATTTTGAGGAAAAGTGACACATTTTAATTTATTTCATGGACGCAGTGCAGATCACACTTGACTCGTTGCAGTGGAGGAATAAAGAAGAAGTCTGACTGGCGTTATGACCCGATGTTTTGAAGTTGTTGCTTTTGTTTAGAAGCAGTAAGGCTCTAAAATAACTGAAAATCTGAGGAAAAATGTGGTGCAAATGTAAGTTTTTAATGTTTCTAACGACTTCATAGTTTTGCAGAGGAGGGATAAATGCGAGAGCTCAGTGTTGTGCAGCTGGAACAGCGATTACACTCTAAAACAAACTAAAATCCCTCCAAAATGAGAGGAAAACTGCAACCATAACAAGTTCTGATGTGTCTTAACGACCGGGTTTTTCCCCAGGAAGGAGAAATAAAGCAAAAGTCTGAGCAGAGTTATGACTCAGTATTTTCTGTCATAACTTTTGTTTCATTGGCAGCGATTATTCTCCAAAAAAATTAAAATTCATTTTTGTCAGGGGGGCCGCATAAAATCAGTCCATGGGCTGTAAACGGCCCACAGGCCCCACTTTGAACACCCTTGATATGTAATGAGGCTCTCACTGTTAAATCTTCTGTTTTCTTTAGCTGTAGCAGAATAATGTTTTTAAAGCCGATGCCTCTAAAGACAAAGACACTATTCAGCTGCAAGCATCCACTGCTGCTGCTCATGTGACCGTAAAGTTCAAAAGGTCAACCCACATGTGGTAACAGAAACACGAAGCTCATTTCTGTTGATTCTTCTGAGGATTATTTCTTATCAGTTTGTTTTTAAAAGATGGCACATTCTGCCGAATTTTCATTAAAACCAAATAAACAATTTAATTGCTCTGAATATTAAATTGTTTTGAGTCTCTATACTCTGCTTAGCGATTAATCAGTTACTATATTAGCTTACCATCATTTCTGTAATTGCATAATCTGGTTAATTAGTCATTTGATTATTTTGATGATTAATTGGGTAAAAAATTTAGCACATTCTGCATATTTTTTATTTTTTATGCAATATTAGAATATATAAGAATGCACATAGACAATTCAGTTCCTTTTTGAAATAAGAAACATTTTTTTTGCCTCATTTGCAACAACTTAGATTTCCTGAATGACTGATCATCTGTAGCATCAATAGTTAAAATAAACAAACTTAAATGTCTTCAGTTATGATTCGATTTCTGCTCTGAGAATGTTGTTCTTTCAGAAAATGACCTTTTTTGAGTCTGTATGCTCCAGTAATGATTAATCGACTACTAAAATAGTTTATGATTATTTCAACAATTGATTAATCAGTTAATTGTTTCATTATTTTGCAGATTAGCCCATTAATCATATTAAAAATATCGGAAAGTTCTACATATTTTTGCATGTTAGCCTGTTTTTTGCAATATTGGAAATAAATTATAAATGCAAATAATTCCTTTTTTAACAAAAAAAGTTAACATTCTATACATTTTAAAATTTAAATTAGTTGACGATTATTTCAGTAATCAATCTGATTAATGGTTTCATTATTTTTGATGATTAATTGATTAATTAATTGATGAAAAATCAAAATATAATACATATTTGAGTCCGTATACTCAGTAATGATTAATCGATTGCTGAATTTGTTGACTATTATTTCGATAATTGATTAAACATGATTAATCCAATTAAGTAATTAATCATTTTATTTTTACGATAAGAAAATTGGCACATTTTGCCTTTTTTATTTTAGCCTGAGATGCATAAAAATCCAAATAAACAATTAAATTCCTTTTTTTTTTCATTAATAAAATTTACATTTTGTTGCTGAATGTGCAACAACTGAGCATTTTTTAAATTGAATCTTAATGGCTGCTCTAACTTGTTCTTTTTTTGAGTGTAGACCCCAGTTACTGATTAATCAGTTACTGAATTAATTGATTAATCGCGTGTTTCAGGCGGGCTGCGCCGACCTGGAGCACATCGCCGCCAGCATGAAGGCCCTGCTGGTCCCCGGCGCCACCGACGGGACGGAGATGTTTGGCGCGCTGCCGCGGCCGCGCCTCAACACGGGCGACTTCTCGCTCAAACACTGAGAGACGGCGAGCGGGAAAAACATGGCGGAGAGGAGAACAAGAAAAGCCTGGAATGTGTGAATCAGTGTCAAAGCTCGAATCTGTTTATCGTTTCAGTCACTAAAAAAATTAACTGCTTTACAGGGTCGTGAAGAAATGTTACGAACACTAATGGCATCTTCAACACTATTTATCCCCAACGACGTCTCACGCATTCGGACCGAGCGGCGCCGCGTTCAGACCGGACCGGACCGAGCATCGCCGCGTTCGGACCGCACCGAGCATCACCGCGTTAGTTCGGACCGGACCGAGCGGCGCCACGTTCAGACCGGACCGAGCATCGCCGCGTTAGTTCGAACCGGACCGAGCGGCGCCACGTTCAGACCGGACCGAGCAGCTCAGACAGGAGGAGCTGATTGGTCAGATTACCGGTGATGTCAGAGATCTTTGATAATCAGCAGACACGTGTTGGTTTAAGTAGCAACAGGTGGGAAATCTTCATGGAAACATAAAAAATGTTTCAGAGGCGAAGTCCTGCTTGTGTTCGACTTCTTATCACTTCGGGATCAGGGCTGGACGATAAATCGATTTTATCAATCAAATTTCTGGCTTTAGAAGATTTAATCTGAATTTTTCTTCTTTTTTTTTTTTCCCGCCATTGCGTTCGTTGGGTTTCCATACTTACGAGTGATGTCAGCACACACGAGGCCGCCATCTTGTGTTTTAGACCCAGGCTACGATTCGATTTATTTTTTTCTTTTAAATTATGAGAATATAGTCATAATATTTAAGAATAGAGTCGAATAAAATAGCAATTTTATGAAAATTGTGACACAAAAAGTAACAAAATTAAAATGAGGAATGCTGAGCAGATGTGTAAATAATTCATTTTTAACACATCATTTAAATTATCATCAGTATTGGGACTTTTAAACGACGCAAACGACTATTTGGAAATAAGAATCACACTAACAGAGTTACTCACATTACATCTTAACCCTAAAAGCTTTTTTCTTAATAAAACGACTTTTTCTTGTCATTTTAAAACGTCGTTCTGGTAAAATTGAGTTTTTATTCTGCTAATATTATGATTTTATTCTCATAATTAAGCAAAAATTCTCATAGCCTGGCCCTGATAATTCATCATACAACTCAGAAGGAATCAGTAAAATAAAATCCACTTATTTTGGAAAAAAAGCAACAAAATGTTTTATTTTTAGTATTTACCGCCCAGCCCTACTCAGGATTGTCCACATCAGCGCTTTCTGACTCCCAGATTTGCCATGTAATAATCCAAAGTGATGCTTCGTCTCTTAGATTTACCTCAGACGGATCAGTTAATGGTGAAGATCAGGTGAATTTTGCCTCCAACACTAAAACTTCACTCAGAAATTAGAAGTTGCTGCTTTTGCGTTCATGTGCGTGCTAACACATTAGGTAACTGCTAAGCTTTAGCCACGTGCTATGATGGGTTTCTGAACACTAAACGAGTATTTTGGTGGTTTTGTCAGTATTTTTCAACCCTGGTTGATTCAAATGATCTAAAAAACGGTGGAAGAGCTACTTCTTACTCTGCAGAAACTTAAATTTTAGATCGATTTTCTAATGTCGGTACAATCAGGGTGCAATCTGGAATGTTTTTGCAAGATCTGGAAGAAGAAGAAGAATGCAGCCAAGCGTGCAGCTTTAAGGTTTGCTGCCTAATAAACGTTAAAAAAATCAGGTCTGTTCTAACATTTCTCTCACAATGATCTTAAAGTCCAGGCTTATGCAACTCATAAACTTTAATTTCACCTCAAATTAAAGTTTTACTCCTAAATTCAACATGTCTGCTTTGAAGAAATGGGAAGTGTACGTTGTAATAAATTGAAAAAAATTTGGTTAATTTGTTTCCAAATACGGAGACCAACTGGCTCACCGTCATCGGTTTATGTAACAGAGTAAAAAACAAAACGGATTTTAACACGAAGCTTGTCGCTTTTTTTGTAAATGTGAGCAGAGGACACCAGCACCTTCTCATTACATGCCTATTTTTTTATTTCACCAATGAATGACTGATTGATGGGATGATTGTTAATTGACTTCATGTTCCAGGGGGATGGTAATGATTTTTTTCTTTTTCCCCATTTGCTCTGGATGTGTTGTTAAAATGCCTGAATGGAAGGGAAAGTGACTTTGTTTGCGAGAGAAAGGATGAGAGATGTGCTAAAAAGTTAACATCTCGGATATTTCAAACATAAATGTTCCGTTAAATCCTTTTATGTTTCAAATAAAGGAGCAACACCAAGAATAAACGGCTCTGGGTGTTATTTTTTAATGGCCACTAGAGGGCGGTAACGCAGCAAAAGAAAGAAAAATCAACGAAGTGTCTGAAGTTTACTCAGGCATGAATATATTAATATAAGTATCACTAGTTACACCCAGACTGATGTTCTCAAGCCTTTATTTGTGTTACTTATGATTTTTCACTTGTAGCCAAACATAGTTAGCAAATAGATTAATTTCAGTAACTTTTTGGAAAAATATGTTTTTAGGAATAGCTCAGTTTTGCTTCACTTTTTAATATTTTGAAGAATTGCTACTCTCATTTGAGTCAAATTTCTAGTTACCCACTGCGAGTAACTTCTCATGACGAAGAAAAAACACACCAGAAACACACATTATGTTACAGAGGGACCTCTTGTTAATACATTTAAACATTATGTGAATATACAGTAAACATTATATTCTGTTCTTCCCGTTTGCAGGAAGTTCTTTAGCCTGTTCTAACATGCATGCAAGTATTGGTTTAAAAGGTTTTATGAAGAAATTAAATTTGTAGTTTTCAAAATGTTAGTCTTTAAAATACTAGAATTTGTACATTTTTAAATCAAATTTGATCAGTTATTCATCACTTGGGTAGTCTACCAATAAAAAGGCATATTATGGCCATCTCAGAGAAAAACAATAAAACAAGGAAAGTTTCAAAAGTAAAATTTTTTAGATTGTCATCATTAAAGTTGGAAAGTTTTTATTAAAAAAAGTTGAAAACATTTGACTTTTGAAAGTCAGAAATGTTCACATTTTTTCCTCTCAAATTTTTTTTTTGAGATTTTTGGCAGCAATGTACCACTATTATACCTACAGCGGCCCTAAAGGCGCTCCTTACAAATGACGTCATTGTTACCCGAACGGCACAAACAGAACGGCGACATCTGAACATTGGAAGATGAGGATGTCCAGGGAGCTTCTTTTCAATATTCGTCGATACAGAAGCAAAGTGTGAGGAAACTAAAACGGTGGTTGAAATGCAGAGGACTCAAAGTGAGCGGAAAGAAGGCAGCGCTGGTTTGAAAGGTAGTTTTTTTCTTTTTCTGGTTACGGATAGCGTGTTAGCTAATACTCACTAGCACTGTGTTATTAGCTAACACTCACTAGCATTGTGTTATTAGCTAACACTCGCTAGCCCTGTGTTATAGCTAACACTTGTTAGCACTGTGTTATTAGCTAGCACTGTATTATTAGCTAGCACTCGCTAGCACTGTTATTAGCTAACACTCGCTAGCACTGTTTTTAGCTAGTACTTGCTAGGACCGTGGTATCTGGGCCTACCTTTCCAATTTCCCGCTCGGCAATCTGTAGGTAATTATTGATTCATCAATGCATTGCAGTTAATTTTTCTAATTAAATATCAATTCTATTCTATTGGTGGGCATTGAATTGCACATATTCATAACTTAAATCAGAAGATCACAAACAAAATCAGCTATTGAGCAAACATTTCACCCAAAACACAGCTTTAGGTACCAAAATCGGTCTGAATGATTGGTAGGAAATATACCAGAAGTGTGTTGATTTCTTTAGGAAATATGTCGGTGAAAGGCAACTTACTGAGGAACTTTTACCCAAATATTAGTGATGGTCTTTGTTTTCTTGTCATCGTTAAAGTTGCATGTCTGCCCTCATTCCAATACACAAAAAAGTCAGTTGAGTGTCGACTTCATACTGGCATAGTGAAGAAGAATACTTTATTGACTACACTGAGGACAATTAAACAGGATCAAAGTAATAAAAACACCCAACTTTACCTTGCTTAACTTAAATTAACAAAAACAAATGAAAATCTGAAGGTGTTTTTATGCATTCAGAGAAAAAAAAACTGCCAACATGTCTTCAGTTGTACTTCAAAGCTCGTTTTTTTTCTCCAATCACACTTAAATGAACACTTCCTGGTAAAACTACTGCTGCCCCATACCCACAATATACAGAAGCTCATTTCTGCCATGAACCAAAAAGTAAAAGCCAGACAGGGAGACAAAATTTAGAGTTTTATAATCATGAAAACAAAAATAAAAAGTCATGTAAAATGACGACTTTAAAGTTCATAATTTTACAAGTTAAATTTCTACAAGTTAAAACAAGTTTTACAAGTTTTTAAATCATAATTATGAGAACAAAAGACATAATTTTGTGAATAAAGGTTATATGAAAACAGTTATTTTGGGGTTTAGTCATAATTATGAGTTTCAGTGAAAATTATGAGAAAAAAGTAATCATTTAGAGTTTTAAAGTCATAATTATGAGAATAAAAGTCATAATTTTGAGTTTTAATGTCATAATTTTGTTGGCTTGATCCAGTATATCAAAAATTATGACTTACTGCGGGCTTTAGTTTTGTCATTCATGGCACGAATGGGCTTCCATACAAATCCCTTTCAAGTGTCACTGATCTTTTTTCCGGATAAGACAGAAGGAATTTGTTCCGATCCAAAACCCGGGGAAAATTCTCTCCTCGAATTTGGCTTTGTACTTGTGGATCAGCCGCACCTCCTTCTCGGAGTCTCCCTCCACCGACAGGAAGGAGATGACGCCGGCCGGCAGGTCGACGTAGACGCCCATGGTGCGGGACGGCGGCAGCTGGATGTCGATGTTCTCACCGTTGTGCCAGACCTGGTAGCAGGAACCGGACCAGCCGACCCCCCAGGAGCCTTTGTTCTCCCCGAGACCGCAGGGCACCTCCTGGCCTTTACGGGGCGCACTCTCCGCCACCACGCCGACCACCACCCAGCCGTCGTAGTCCACCTCCCAGTAGCCTCGGATGCCCATCAAGCCCTCCTTACACAGCACCTGCAACAGGAGACATTCGTGAAACCCACAGCGCTGCGCTCTACGACGGCGTTACAGATGGAAAGAAAAAGCTAGAGAAAATTTATGCCAAAAACTCTCAGAAATTTTTAGATGAAGCTTTTCTAGAAACATTTTCTGGAAAAAAAAACTTTGATACTTCTGAGTTTCCAAAGTCAAAAATTTTATAGAAAAAAACTAAATTTTCTCAGTTTGAAAAGCAAAAACTTTGCTAAACAAAACTAAGAACTGTTCTAAAAAAAAGTAGGAAATTTCTGAGTTTCAAAAGTTTAAGATTTTTGACTTTCGGAAACTAAAAAAAAATGTAAATCTTCAGGTTGATCTCAGAAATTTTCTAGAAAAAAGTTAACATTTCCAGCATTCAAAAGTTACTAGAAAAGCTCCAAAATATAAAAAACTTACATTTTAAGCTTTAAATTAAAAGTCAGATATTTTCAACTTTTGAAACTCAGAAAATTCCAAGTTTTTTCTAGGAAATATTTAGATTAATCTCCAAATCTTTTAATTTTTCACTGAAATTCACTCCCTTTTTTCAGAGCTCTGGATTTTTTCAGAGCTCTGTCAACTTCCCAGTCAAAAAAATCAACTGAAACTTCCCTCCAAAGTCTGATTTCCTGCTGGGAAAATGGGAGCAAGTTGACTAACCTCACTTATTCCAACATGGCTGCTCCTCACATCAACATATTAGATGTCTTGGAAACGTGTTTATTTCACAAGACACACATGAAAAGTGCATCTAAAACCAATGTTACATGTATCGCCTGCAACTCTAAACTAAACAAAATAGAAGTGGTGTTTGATTATGGCCTTTCGTAAACCATGTTAATGAGTGTCGCCATGTTGCGACCTTTGAGTTCCAGGCCTCCTACCTGTGGTGAGTCCTGGTATCTTTCAGGCCTGTTGGGATAAGGGCAGACTGCGTCGGAGGTACGAGCCACTTTGCTGCTGCCCTCAGAAATCCACAGAAGCTTCTGTGCTGTTTTGTCATCCAGAGAGACGGGGAACCAGTCTGAGGAGGTAGAAGAAGAACTTAAATGTGAAAATGTGACTAAAACCATGGAGGTTCTTAAAGCTGACACAACCAACAAGAATTCTGCAAGTGGTTCCCATATGGTAAGTCAACAACAAAACACTTCCTTTTCCAGCAGACAAGCTGGACAAGATGCCTAGCAACCTTGCTTGGTTTGCTAGGTGATGGACTAGACTCGACTGGGGTTGCTAGGTGATGGACTAGACTCAGCTGGGGTTGCTGGGTGATGGACTAGACTCAGCTTGGGTTGCTAGGTGATGGACTAGACTTGGCTGGGGTTGCTAGGTGATGGCTCAGTTAACAGTAGAGGGATTTTTGAAATTTATTTGGGGGTTTTCTTTTTATGTGGTTGGGATTTTTTTAAAAACTGTCTTAAGTTACTTTTGTCTTATTTCAAGTGTACTAAGATATTTGCACTAGAAACTAGGCCAACAATACTTTTTGAGATTTTGTGTTTTTGCAGCGTGGGTATAGATAATGGACATTTAAAAGCTTTAGAAAGCCTTACATTTCATGAAGTCAGCTCTGGTAGTTGGTTCGGGGATATTTGGCTCATACGGTGGCATCTTTTCTAGAGTGAGACAAAGACATGTTTATTAGCATTTACCAGGATGGTTGAATCAAAACAAACATAATTTGGTGATTTACCTTCTGCAGCGCTGTTTCCTTTTTTCCCTAGACATTTCAAAACAAAGCAGGATTATATTGCAGTCACTTTGAGCACATATCATGCTTCATTGTGTTCAAGTGTAACACATTTATTTATATGAATTAAAATACTCCTTGGTATAAAAATGTCTACTTTCTAGATAGTGTTATAAAAATGAACATAATTTAAGTAGAAAAAACTGGTGGGACTGTTAGCTAGTATCTACCACCAGTGCGCCCTCTAGTGGATTCATCCGGGACAAAAAAGACTAATTTTTATAATAATCACATCTTTTATGATATTAACTAAAGGTGTTATCTGACTTTACAACACTGCATACCATGTGTTCATGAGAAAAACAAATTTATTCTCTCTTCTCTCACATTTGATTACTGATTACTGCGTATCGGCTCATACGTTTATTTTTCAGTAGCAGTCCAGCAAATGCAGTTAAACTACTTTTATCTTTATTTATTGTTATTGTCTTTAAATCTTACACTATGACAACAATGACAAAAATACCCTCCCTAGAGGTATTTCTATCTACACATGCAGATCGTACAGTCACAGTGGGATCAACTCACTCTTCGGTTACCTAGCAACTCACTCACTCTTCGGTTACCTAGCAACTCACTCACTCTTTGGTTACCTAGCAACTCACTCACTCTTTGGTTACCTAGCAACAGTCTGCTGAGTAACTGGCACAGCAGCAGTTTAAGGTTTCCCAACCATTCCTCACAACTGCTTAGAAATACAAAACATCAGCGTGTAGAAAAACCTCTGGACAAAACAGGAAAGTCACACCTCCAGTTTGGCAGAAGTTTAGATAATTAAAACAAAAAAACTGATGACTAATTATCAATATTGACTGATGATAAAACGCTTATGTTGTGACCTGTTTTCCAGCTCTAACCAGAGGATGTCTGTGTCTGACATGTGTTCTTGTTTATCCGAGATGTTTGCAAACTTTTTAAATAAGAAACCACTTGATACATAAAACCATCGCATTAACAGAACATACGGAGACACCATGTTCCAAATGTTCAACATTAGAAGAGGCAAAGGTCGACGGTGGCGTGTCAGAAAACGGGCGAGCCAAACACAGATGACCGCGTCAGTCTTATTTAACCATGCCCTCTGTTCATTAAATGAGACAATGAAGAAGAAAGAGAGAAAAGAGTGAACGCCGCAGACGGATCAGGAGTGAGACGTCAAGCCGGTGGCGAGCTGGAAGACTGAAAATATCCAGGATGTTCCACGGAACAGCAGAAAGCACCAGCTGGGATAAACTGACTCCATGATGGATGACCTGACATTGCAGCAATAGAGACATGAAGTACACGTGGCAGGGAGGCATGAGGATATTTAAAGGAACCGGCTCTTTAAAAGGGATAAAGTTTGGTACAATTCAGTGTCTGAACACTGCAAAAACACAAAACCATGTGTCTTATTGTTAAAGTGTTTTTATGTTAATAACTGTCCGTTGTTTCCTCACTTCTAGCTGCAGTTTGTTTCCACAGCTCAAGATTTTAGATGACATCTCCTGTAGTTTTAATAACCATTTCTACACTGTAAAAACATGAAACCTTACCAAGTATTTTTGATCTGGTTTCCACTGCAAATTCCTTAATATGCTTAAAATAAGACAAAACTAACTTACAAGCAACTTTTCTGCAAGATGTAGAATATTTAGGTCAATAATGTCTTGTTATTGATGAAAAACTACCAGTTCCACTTATAATAAGTGAAATAATCTACTAGTATAACTACTATGTTTTTTTTAATCAATATTAAGGAATTGTTTACTTAAAACAAGCTCCTGTATCTTGCTGAAAAGTTACTTGTAAGTTAGTTTTGTCTTATTTAAAGTTCATTACCATATTTGCACTAGAAACAAGATCACAGTGCTTGGTAAGACTTTGTGTTTTTGCAGTGTTGGAAGACATTTAACTTTATAACCTCTCAACACTGAGGCTATTTTGGTCTAGCCGGCAGTGCAAATATCTCAGTACACTTTAAATAAGACAAAACCAACTGACAAGTAACTTTTCAGCAAGGTATAGGAGCTTGTTTGAGTAAAACATTTTTTAAATATTCATAAAGTTCTAGTTCCATTGATTATTCCACTTGTAACATGGGAAAATGTCTTATTAGGAAAATAATCTGCCAATGGATCAAGTACTTTATTAAAATCAACATTAAGGAATTAATCACTTAAATCTTTTGCAGTGTTGAAATTCTTTTGACCATATAAGCTTTGAACTCCGCAAAAACACAGAATCTACTTTGTATTTTGATCTAGTTTATATAACGCTAACCCAGCCGGCCAATCGTGATGGAACACTGCTTGGGTTGCTAGGTAACGGGGCTGAGCTAGGCTGGGGTTGCTAGGTAACGGCACAGTGCCCATGGAATGTGACTTCACTGCAAACACACCAAATCTTACCAAGTGTTTTTGCCTAGATTCTAGTCCAAATATCTTAGTTGTGTAAGTAAATTCATAAAATTGATTTTTTTTTAAAAGTACTGGTTCCACTGGCAGATTATTTCACAACATTTTCTCTATGTTATATGTGAAATAATCTGCCAGGTGAACCAGTACTGAGTACCAGTACCCACTGAGACAGCAAAATCAGAGGATAGGGACATGAGGGACAGATCTGGTCTCATCCACGCTGTTTCTATCTGGTGTCAAGTCTTACCGGCTGGAAAAATGGAATAAAGATGTGGAAGGATTCTGGAGAAATTTCGTCCTTTGATCTGACTTTCTCATAAAATAAATCAGCAAAGCAAAATTCTGACACCATAAATCACTTAAGGAGGATTTCGTGTTACTTTGTGCTTCAATCAAGCGGCCATAAATAACTCAGATATGAGCTTTTGCATTTTGTTACTTGAATTACTGTGCAGCATTTCACACTTCATTACTGCAGCAGCAGGAGGATGGATTAGTAACAACTGGGCTGGAGGCCGGCGGTGGCGTGGGTTATGTCAGCTGCTGGCATGGACTGAAAGGGCCAACGAAACATAAAGATGTTGACTTTAACCTCAGAATCCTGTCAAATCCGAACAAATAACCAAATATTCTTAGCTTTATGTCAGATATGTTGTTAGCATAATCACAGAAATAATCACATTATTGTTTTTCCTTCTTGGATTTGTAAACCTGGACTTGATCCACTGAAAGTCTGTTCCATATTTATTTGGTAGATTTGAGTTTTAAGACTACATTCATGTGATGGTGGTTAATCAGCTAAAACAATTATGGTTCTGAGGAAGAAAAAGTCATAATTCTGAGAGAAAAATCAGAATTTTGAGAAAAATGTTGAAATTCTGGAAAAAAAGTCATAATGTAGGAAAGAGAATTTTGAGGAAAAAGTTGGAATTCTGAGAAAAAAGTCTGAATTCTGACAAAAGTCAAAATTCTGGGAAAAAACAATTGAGAAAAAAGTCTGAATTTTGAGGAAAAAGTTGCAATTTTGGAAAAAAGGTCAGAATTCTGATGAGTCAAAATTCAGAAAAGAAAAACAATTGAGAAAAAGTCAGCGTTCTGAGATAAAGGTCAGAATTTTAATTTGTTTTCCCAGTGGCCGTGATCCTCTTCCGCAGAAACAAGACATCTTCAAAGAAAAGCATCTAAAAGACGCATCGAGTGGTCATGTTGCAACAGGTCAGGATTACCGAAGGCGAATAAAACGGCGATGTGACACCGAGACGGCCGCTTTCTCAGTAGCAAAGCCACACACTTTGTTGACATGATTAATGGTCGGGGAAACACTGGCATGGTCCGAGGTGATGACGGCCGTTTGGCTCGGAGCTGGACTGCCGGGCCGGCGGGTATGAAGACACTCAATAACGGCAAATAAACAGCCTACTAAAACTGGTGATAGAACAAAGTGACGAGCAGTAAATCAGTGTGAACCCGGGACGGGTAATGTCAGACAAACAAAGACATCGCTGCGACCTTTCATCTGAGCCCGGTGGCGACACTTTAAATAACTAATCGGAAACACGAAGGAGCAAAAATCAAAACGGCTTTTATCCAATTACTAGTTTCAGGGCTGAAACGACTAATCGTGATGGATCAATAAGAGAAATAATCAACTAATTTAGTAAATGATTAACTGTTAACTGGAGGATACAGACTAAAAGAGGCTGTTTGCTGAAAAAACAGCCAATCAGAGCAGTAATTAACCCAAAACTCTAACATATAAGTTCATATATATTGCATTTAAAGTAACACATTTGTCTGTAAATATATTTAGTATTTTAGCCAAAACTCCTCAACTGGCAGTTTTAGTTTCACCTGGTAAAATTTCACTGAAGGGATTTTTGTATTTCATGCAATAAAATGTGTATTTTCCCTATTTAAAAAATGACTTAAATTATTACATCTTAATAATGTCTAAAATGTTTTAAAAGTGAAAAATGAAAAAGTGCTATTTCCACTGGCAGATAAAACATGGAACAAGGTTGTTAAAGGTGAAATGATCTGCCAGAGGGACTAATACTTTTCATTCATAACTATTAAGGAATTATTAAACTTCAAACAAAATATTATATTGAGACATTATTTGAGTTAGTTTTGTCTTATTTTAAGTTTACTAGGATATTTGCACTACAAACTATATCAAATATTTATCAAGTTTGTGTTTTTTGCAGTGTAAAAAGTAATTAAAACAATGGGTACTATATAAAGTGTTGAACTAAAGAAACTAATTTCATCTTTAACTGAGAAAACATCCGACAGCATTAAAAATAATGTTTGTTAATAAGACACATGAAAAGACAGTATTTAATTTAAGATGTATTATGCATTAAAATTAAATTAGAAATGCAAACGGAACAAAACAAATTGATCAATAACGAACTTAATATGCATAATACACTGCAAAAACCAAGTATTTTGGATTAGGTTGTAGTGCAAATATCTCAGTACACCTGACAAAACTAACTTGCAAATAACTTTTCAGCAACAATAGTGAAATAATCTGCCAGCGAATCTAGAACGATTTATCAATATTCAAGAATTATTTACTTAAAATAAGCTAGAATATCTTGCTGAAAAGTTGTTTGAGTTTGTTTTGAGTTCTTTTAAGTGTAATAAAATATTTTCACCATAAACTAGACCAAAATCCTTGGTATGATTTTGTGTTTTTGCAGAGTAATTTGGCTAATAATAGTAACCAGCGGGGATGATTGGGAACCGGTTGGTTCCGGTGGGACTCCATTCTTACCTGCTTTCTTGGGGACCGGCATGGTTCCGTTTGGCTTCGGGCGTGCTGCTCTTGTCAAAGTGCTTCCTGGTAACTCCAAGGCTCACCTTTATCAGCTTCTGATGAGTGAGGAGGGGCAGACTGAAGAGCCGGTTTTTTTTGTCGGATAGGATGGAACCGTCCCAAAAAAAGGACGATCCCGTCACTTGAAACTCGTGATACTTTTCCTGGGAACTGGGCTGAAGTACCGAGGACATCCCAACCATTCCTGCATGTTTGCATACACTCGCACTGAGCATGTGCAGGAGGGACACGTCTGCGTCATATTAAATGAGATGATAAATTGATGTATTTCTTAAAGACAAACGAGGGTGAAAAATCATGCAGCCCGGTGCCCTTTGGAGTCCTTTTAACTGAGAAAGAATGGCCGCTAACGATTAAACTGATCCCAACTCCAGATGCCGGGTAGTGGGGTTATTTTCTGTTTGTAGGGTGTGAACCGTCACTATGTGAGAAGGAAGCCAGCTTCTCACCGGGTAGCTGTCAGCGGTCCCAGATCCCATCCATCAGGAGCTGCTGCCGTTGCACCCTGGACTTCTGACTGGGAACAAACTGTACCAACAGATGTTATATCGGAGGCAACAGCTGGAGGCCGGTCTTCACCTTACAGCTTGTCCTGATTCTATCAGTTTTCTGCCTTTAAGGTGGCCTGCTATGCTTCCTTAAACAGGTTGAAATGGTCTATACAAAACATGTTCATTACATTTTTTTTCACAAAATCATTCTCAGATAATGAGATCTAGTTCATAATGAGCTGTTTCAGGTTGTCTTGTCACTTTAAATCCAAATAAGCCTCTGCTGGCCACGCCCCCCAACACATTGTTTACATTTGATGTGAAAATGGCTGCAAACAGATTAGCAATTATACCAACATACAGCTGCAAAAAGCAGCCATTGTACAGCGAATACAGCAGTAAAACCAGCTGACCAAACATTCTGGAGTTCTGTTTGGGTTGCTAGGGTAACGAGGCTGGGCTCAACTGGCGTTGCTAGGTAACGAAGAAGTGCAAAGAAATGTCACTTAACACAAAATCTTATCAAGTATTTTTGGCCCAATTTCTAGTGTAAATATCTTAGTCTTTTGAAATAAGAGAAAACTAATTTACAAGCAACTTTTAAGCAAGGTATGAGAGCTTAATTTAAGTGAATAATTTCTTAATGTTGATGAAAAAGAAATAGTTCTACTGGCAGCTTATTTCATTTGTAACCAGACATTTTTCCCATGTCATAAGTGAAATAATCTCCCAGTAGAACTATTTCTTTTTCATCAACATTAAGAAATTATTCACTTAAATCAAGCTCCAATATCTTGCAGAAAAGTGACTGTTATGTTTTGTTTTATCGTAGAAATTAGACCAAAAATAATTGGTAGGATTTTGTGTATTTGCAGTGTGGAGCTTTGTTTTGGTTGCTAGGTTGCTTTTAAGCACTTGGGCTGTTTTTAGAGGCAGTTGAGACCAAGTAGAAGTTCCAAAATGTGCATAATATGTCCCCTGCAAGGAAATGTCTCTGGTCAGAAGTAATGCAGAAGCAAGCTGAAAGCATCAGGGACTAAAACCTAACTGATGAGTTGAAAGTAAGCGAAAGTTTCATCTTTGCTTTCACACCAAAATTTTCCGTATTTGTTGTGATATTTTAATAGTAGTGAAGTTCCTGGAGAACAAAGCGAACCATAACAGTATTCATATTATCTTAGGCTGTTTTCACACCTGATAGTCCAGCAGACTCAGTTCATTGTGGGACCAAAATTTCAATATTTGTTACAATTTCAGCTGCTGCACTTTGCTTTAACTCTGTACTGTGTCAAACAATCCAGACTAATTGAAATATCTGTTTCCCTCCTCGCCTGTGGTGGCGCAGCACCAAGAACCACTGAAGGAAACAACACAAAAACCTCAGAAGAAGACACTGATCACAACATCCTTGGAAATAAAATGGAGTGGTGGTTTTACTACTGTATGCACTGTACAATGACTGCTGGAAAAGACAGCCATTGTCCTTTCTCCTGCTAGCTCTGGACTGTCAAGTTTGTTTTGGTTGTATTTACCCAGAATGCCCTCCACTCTTGTCCACTTCCTGCTTCTGGGGCGGTCTTTGGTCCACTTGACGTTCACATATGGATTGGAACAGCACCAAAGTCCACTTGAACTGAACCGACACCGAGTTTTGTAGGCAGACCAGAGTTTGCTTTTTTGGTTCGATTATGCCAGGGGTGTCCAAAGTCGGGCCTCGAGGGCCGGCTTCCTGCATGTTTTAGTTCTCTCCCTGGTTTAGCGCACTTGCATCAAATGATGGCTCGTTAGAAGGCCTAAGGAGAACATTGACTTGCTGAGGAGGTTGTTACTACCACTAGGGAGAGAACTAAAACATGCAGGATGCCGGGCCTCGAGGACCAACTTTGGACACCCCTGGATTATGCGTTCACTCCTCCCCAGACGAACCAGACTTTCCAGGAAAATGAACTGGAGTTCAATTAAAGTGAACTAAACAGAACTGGTGTGAATTCATCCAAACATTACAACATGTCCTCTGTGTGAGGGATGAGATCTCAACACCAGTCTTCTCTGCTGTCAGCAGCTTAGTTCAATCTGTTTTGTTTCAGAGCCTTTTGGGAAGTAGATCATACCCTCAACAATCACAGTGAACTTCACCGCCCAGACTGGCTGATGCATAACCTTAAACACTCGTACTGCATGACATGTTAACATGATCAGGCACTGGTGAAAGATACAGCAACATGCAGGGAATACAATGTGTGGAAGGCAAAGGAGACTTGCTGGGCTGCTTTTAATAGACTTTCAATAAGACGTCTCCTTGTAATCCTCGTACTTTCTTTCTCACATGACTAAGAGGTCAGCGACTTTCACCTTCTCACTTGTCTTGAAGTGGAACTGAGTCATTGGTAGGACTAGTTCCAACTGGTTCCAACCGGTCCCAACCAGGTCTAACTAGTCCCAACTGAATCCAACCAGATCCAACCGTTTCCAACTACATCCAGTCAGTTCCAACCGGTTCTAATCAGTTCCAACCAGATCCAACTGGTCCCAACCAGTTCTAACCAGTACCAACTGAATCCAACCAGATCCAACTGGTCCCAACCAGTTCTAACCAGTACCAACTGAATCCAACCAATTCCAGTCGGTTCTAACGAGATCCAGCCAACTGGTTCCAAACAGCCAGCTCCAGTTGGTTCCAATCAAATTGATGTCTGGACTTTGACTGGGCCATTGCAACAACTTAACTCTATTGTCAGCAGCTGAAGACAAAGACAGGAAATAGTTGGAGGATTATGTTAACGATTTATCGGATGAACAAACTTATTCATGTGAGATTTTAATCACGTTTCTTATTTATTGGAAACATCACAACTGCAAAATTGTGTTGTTTGGACATATTAAAGTTTTGCTCTCATTTGTAATGGAAATGCAGCGAATGAAAATCAAAACAACAATGCTCACCTGCAGCAGCGTGATCGGAGAATTTGACTGATTAAAACTACACTCAAGGTAGTTAAAACAAGGTTTTCAGCCACTTTTCTTCTTACAAAACCGGGTTTTAGTTGGAGTGAATGAACCATTGATCATTAAGCGTAATTATCATCTCAGCACGTTTGAGCAGTTCGACACCTCCAACAAAAAGAGATTATTCTGCGACGAAACTCTTTAAAGACAACATGAGCAGATTTACAGCGTGAAAACGACAGATCAAATTAACTCTGCCAGCCCACTTTTAGCGAAACATGAACCTCCAAACCGACTACTAATCACGAGATGTCAAACGAGAGGTGTGTGAGAACCGCGGGGTCCGCCTGACACGGGGAGTCATGCTGACCTCGGTCGCCAAGCAACCGTTATTTATGACACTGTGTTGCAGCCGGCATGTCTCCCCCCTTCTCTGCACCTCAAGTCGCACCATTTATCTTTTGTGACAATGAAATATGCGCAGATATTAAGTCCTCAAGTCTGCAGAGACACGGACTTGTAAATAATTTAGGGAATCAATATAGTTTGTTCCCTGCAGCAGAGGGTTGGAAAGGAAATTCAGTAAAACTGAACTGAGAATTTTAACTTTTTTCTCAATTCTCACTTTAACTTGTAGGAAACGTTTTTTTTTCTGTCAGAATTCAAAATTTAATCTCAGAATTTAGAGAATAAATATAGTTTGTTCCCTGCAGTTGAGGGTTTGTATGCAAGGCAAATTCAGTTAAGTTCAAACTGAATTGAGAACTGTAGCCTTTTCTCACTTTAATCTCATAATTTTGATGTTTTTGTTTTTAGAATTCTAACTTTAATGTTAAATTACAGACGTTAATCTCAGAATTTCAATGTTTTTCTCAGAATTCTAACTTAAATCTCAGAATTCTGACTTTTTTCCTCAGAATAAAAATTATTTAAGCAAATTCAGGAAAATCTAACCTGATTTTCCTGGTTAGAAAATCAGGTTCTCTCCGTAATTTTAGCAAATTTGCTAGATTTGCTAAAATCTAGCAAATTTATTTGCTAGATTTAAAAATGAAATCTAGCAAATAAATTTGGGACAGGCTTTCGGTGTGGATCAACTGTAGGTTTACAAATCACATAGCAAGGAACAAATATTTATGTGATTATTTTCATATGACAAACACTTTGGGATGCTTGGTTATTTATTTGGACTTTGACAAAATAGGAATTCTGAAGGATTTTTCTTTGTGGCCCCAATCTTCTTCCGTAGGTTTGAAATGATGGGAATAATCGTTTTAACGTTTAGCAACAACAATCGGAAATGGTTTAAATCTACCAGAACCCCTGAAAAAAACCAGAGGAAGAGCGACAAGTTTAAGGATTTACTTGATAAAAATGAACATAGAAGTAATATATCAAAATAATGTAAGAAAACTTTCTTGAAGGTCAATAAACTTTAAATTATAATGAACATTTAAACCTAGAACATTTTAAATATCCAAAATAAATAAACAAAACAAGACAAAAGACAAATAAATTGATCTATAAAGTCTCTGTAAACCAAATTGTCGTTTAAAAAAGGGCGAGTTCAGACCAAAATACCAGACCGAAGAGTTTCATCATCCAGTTTTTGGTAGAAAGAGAGAAAAGAGAACAACAATAAATTATGCAAATAGAAATTAATGAGTTTGTTTTAATTTATCATGCAATGAATTGATTTATAGCTTATTGAGACAAGCCTAGCTGCAAAGCAGCACACTGCAAAAACAAAACCTTACAAAGTACTTTTAGTCTAGTTTCCAGTGCGAATATTTTACACTTAAAATAAGAAAACACTCGCTTACAAGTAACTTATCAACATGATATAAGTCAATAATTCTTTAATATTGATTTTTATAAAATGCTAATTTTACTGGCAGATTATTTTAGTTTTATCACAGGATACTTTTCCCATGTTATAAATGAAATGATCTGCCAATTGAATCAGTACTTTTTTTTAAATCTATGGTCTAATTAATATCTTATCTGACTTGTTTTTTTCAGCCTTCCTGGTTCTGAAACAGACAGCCGAGGCGACGAGTGGGTTTGGTCCCGGAGGAGCAAAAGGAACGGAGTGAGTCATTCTGACAAAGATCTTTCTGGTGATTAGAAGAGACGCAGCTGAAGCTCCAAACTGAGCCTCCCAAAAATAAAAGGATGTTCCTCACAGTTAGAGGTGTGGACTAAAAACAGCTGGACACGGACAAACGAGGTGATGTAATGTTGACACAGGGATCGTCCCTGAAATACAGAGACAGATCCAGTCAGCTGGTCCCAATGGAACAACTGGGAGACGCCCAGTAGCTGCGTTTCTTTTGACCTTAAAATTGAGCAATTTGACATTTTGAAAATAAATTTGCTTAATGGAAACATGTCACTTCTGAAAAGACTAATTTTGTTTTTTTATATAAAGTTTTTGCAGGATTAGATTGTTTTTCGGCCACATCAAAATTACAGCATTTCACAAAATGCAGAGAAAACACTTTTTTCATATCATACGAGTCAACAGGATGTTACTACTGGCAGAAACGACAAAGACGTAGACAGGAAGAGCTTGGAGGATGATGGCGCTGCATGTTTTTAATGACTTATTGCATGAACAAACTTATTTACGTGTGATTTTAATTGTGTTTCTTATTAAAAGGAAACACAGCTATTGTATTTTTTTCGACATTAGCAGAATATCGACAAAGTTTTGTGCACATTTGTACTGTAAACACAGCTACAAATAGTTTGTGTTTCTCTGACATGTCTGTTACAGAAACAAATTTTATGAATACTGAGAGTTGTAAGTGATATAAAAACTGAAAAAAGGACTTTTCACATAAAACGCAATAAAAATACAATTTCTGGCGAGTAATAAGTTAGGATACCTTCAGATTTATTTCCACTTGAAATGGCTTAAGTCAAATCGTCATTACTCTGAATTATGAATGAAGTTTGCACTGTTTAAAGATCCAAGACATTTACGAGACTCTCAGAAAAATTTGAAACATTTTTTTTCCTTTAGTCTACAAATGGAAGGGTCAAAGCAGCAGCTACAATACTCAGCTTTGAGCCAATAGTCAAAACATGTCAAATGTACCGCTTATATAGTATCTTCTTTGCTTGTAAAAACCCGTCTGTACAGTTGAAGTATGTAAATTTATTATATTGTCATGAAAGGCTGTTTTCATTTCATTCTATTCATATTTATACATTTCATAGTTTCAAAATATGTTTCAGAGCTAAATATTTAGCTATTGTCCAAATTCACTTACTGAAAAGCTCTCAAAGTGTAGATGTTCGTAACGCCAGCTTTTATTTTGATAGTCCTCTTCCGCTTATATCGGCAAGTGAATTAGAAAAACATCTAAATATTTATCTTTGAACTGACTTTCTAACTAAATATTTAGTTTGAACTTGTGACATTTATGAATGTATTAATAACATGGTGAAAATATGTCTGAGTTAATTATTTTTTTTCCTCTTATGATGCCGTAACCGAATAACTGAAATTGCCAGCTAGCTAGCCTGCTATGTAAATTTTTGGCTGCTGGTTTTACCGTTTTCCATATTTTTAAACATAATTTGAAATTACATGGACAACAGGAATGAATTTACATACATTAATCACTACATTTTTTATAGTAACAAGTCAACTGTATATAATTTTTACTTTACAGAAAAACTTCAAGCCGGATAGTCAAAAAATACGACGGTCTGCAATAAAACGGCAACCTCTCCAGCAGAGGGCGCTAAAGGCATCGTTTGGATTAAATTATCAATAGTTTAATTCTAAGATTAGGGATTAATTTCGCTAATACAGAACACCTGTCTTCTGGTCATATCAGATTATACTTTCATAAAGACTTTAGAAGCTTTATTTTTCAACCTTTATTCCCCTTTAAATACAAATTTATCAATAAAGCAGATTTAAAAACAACTGGAATGTTAATTTTACAGAACATGAATCTGTAGTCAAATAAATAAAAAAAACAAAGACAAGTAAAGTAATAAATACTTTATTTTCCACATCAGTAAAAGTGCAGTCGCCTGCGGGTCACAAACTTTCCTTTTTACTGTACAGATTTCAGATGCACAACAAATATGTTGCTCCTTAAATAGCTTTATGTACAGCAGATAAAATCTGAGAATTATTATTCAGTGAATGTTACCGGAAAAAAACAAACAGTTGATCATCGACCTCCTCCGTTGGCGGCTCCACCGCCAGCGCCGCCGCCTGATTGGTCCTGGGCGCCTGACATCATCAGGAAGAGAACGAGAGGCACGATGTACATCCACTGCAAGAGAAGAAAAACACACCTTGTATAAATAACTCCTATAATTTACATAGAATTAACTGTGATCACTTGCATGTATTTGGTAAAGGTTGCTGATTTATTTCCTCCCAGATAAGGTCAGATTTATTTCTCAACAGAAAAAGAAAATGTTGAAATATTCCAGGAGGATTAGAGACTAGAGAGTCAAACACCAAAAACTTTTAGGCTCCACTAACTTTCTAAAGGTTTGGATTCAGTCGATTTTTAGAAACTATCAGCCTAAAAATTTATTTGGTTTTAGACTTTTGAGAAGGGCGAACAGAAGAAAAAGAAGGAATAAGTGAAAAACTACAGTTTGTGGTTAAACACAGAAGAGAAGAAGGAGGAAGAAGAGGAGGAGGAGGAAGAGCCACAAGTAAGGAAACTGTACTTCAGTGGGAATCAGCTCTGCTCTCTGCCGCCCCCTGCTGGGGGCTGTGCCGAATTGGTGAGCATGAGGAAGATGGCACCTCCCAGAATCAAATACCACTGGAACACAGCAACACAGAGTCACTGGACACACAGCGAGGCACAAACACGGCACAGAACAACACGAAGGCAGCACGACCCGGGCCGGGCCCGACCACACAGAACCGGGTCGCAGCGGGCCGCAGGAACCGGCCCAATAAAATGACCAGACACAGCTCTGCTTACTGTAACGGCGTATTACGACCACCAGACAAGAAAAAGAGGAGTAAATTTACACCAAAACAGGGAGAAGTTTGTAGATTAAGAGAAAATGTTCTAGGACAAAAACACGGTAAATATTTGGGTTTCAAAAGTTGACAATTTTCTGAAAAAAATTAAATTTTGAGATTCATCAGAAATTGTCTAGAATTTTTTTTCTTTTGGATATTTCTGAATTTGAAGTTGAAAATTTTCCCCAAAAAAATTTCCAGAATTTTTTTTATTTTTGAGTTTGAAAAGATTTTCTAGATTTTCTAGAAATTCTGAGTTTCCAAAGTCGAAAATTCATGAGAAAAAAAAATTTAGACTAACCTGAAACATTTTCTAGGGAAAAAAATAAGAGATGTCTTACTTTGAAACATCGAAAGTTTTCTAGAAAACAACTTGAAAATGTTGACCTTTTCAAAGTTGAATATTTGCTGGAAAAAAATCTCAGAAACTTTCTAGAAAAAACTTAGAAATTTCTGAGTTTGAAAAGTTAAAAATTGGCTAGAAAATAAAATTAACCTAAAAGATTAACCTAAAAATTTTTTAGGAAAAAAAACTTTCTGAGTTTCAAAAGTAACTTGGAAATTTAACCTGAGATCAATATCAAAATTTGAGTTTTTTGTAACAAATGTTTGACTTTTCGATGTCAGAAACGTTGAAGTTTTGGGGTCAATTTACTCCTTTTTTCTTTACAATGGCCCTCGCACTCCCTGGGGCTTTAAATTTGATTTCAGGTGTAAATGAACTAACAGGTGAAGGAAAGTAAGTCTGTAACTTCATTACTTTAGTTATTGATTAATGATTGATTGTCAGAATAATGGATTAATCAGATTAAAAAAATAAACATTCTCCAGATTTTTCATTTAACCACTTAAGCCTTTTTTATTCAATAATATAAATAAATTTAACTATGCAAATAAACACTTTTAATTCCTTTTTCAAGTAAAAGGAAAAAAAATAACCTAAAATGCAAAAACATAATTCCTTCAGTAAATCTGAACCAGGTTAAACAAACATTTACAAACAAAAGTGTTTTTATCTTAAATTCAAAATGTATATATTTTTGTACAATTTTGGGTTCATTCCTGCTCTGAATGTTGTTTTTTCAGTAAATGGCCCTTGAGTCTCTATTCTCCAGTTAGCGATTAATCAATTACTAAATTAGTTGTTGATTATTTAAATAGTCGATTAATTGTGACTTCAGCCATGGAGGAAAACTTTGCAGCTCTGAAATGGTTTAAAATGTTTCATAATTTCTGTTCACATTAATAAGACAGGCTGGAAAAACAGAAAGCATCCTGTTATTTTAGCCAAAAGCAGCCGATGCGCTTCATGCTTCCTCCGTCTCTGCAGAAGCTGCACACAGGCAGAAAGTCATGCTGAGAGAATCAATAAATATATAAAGTCTGGTATTAGAGGTTCAGGGCTCCAAAACTCTGAGGAAAAATAACATTGTCCGTAGAATAAATGATCCCACTGCAGCTAAAATATGTTGATCATTATGGACGATTAATTGATAAAATTGATTAATTGCTAGACAAATTGATTAATCATTCAATAATTTTATCGATTAATCAAATTTTTGTTTTTTGAAGATTTTATTTTTGGAAAATTGAGATATTTTTCATCTTCAGTTTCCAAAGTTCGGAGTGATGTCAGCGCACCCAGGGCGGCCATCTTGTTTTACAGCCTCTATTTACTTTGAATTTGAATTCATGTCAACTCTACGACAAAACATTAGGGCTAGGCTACGACTTTTTTTTATGATTACAAGAATACAGTCGTAATTTTACGATAACTCTTACATGAAAATAAAAGCTTTAAATGAGGAAAGTTGAGCATCTTGTGAAGTTTTAGAGATAACACTTAATAGAACTATGTAACATTGAACACATCAGCACTAAATTATTATCATCAGCAACAGCTGAGTCTGTTTCCAAAGAACACAAACTGAGCAGATCCTGAAAATGCAACAATTTTTTCCTCATTAAAAATGTTTTTTCTTGTAATTTCAATAAGTTTTTGGTGAAATTGCAACTTTATTCTGTTAATAATATGCCTATAATCTCTTTAACCAAAATTCTCATAGCCTGGCGCTAATAACTCACAGATGTTTTAAATAAAAACAACTCTTTTCTGTAAAATAAAATAAAAATAAAAAATCTGTCAAAATTGGATCTGGTGTGAAAACAAAAAGCTGAGACTTTATCTTTAAGCCATGTTGCCCAGCCGTAACTATAAGATTTATTTCTTAAACCTTTTATAAACCCTGACAGCTTCACTCTTACGTATTTGGCAAAGAACGATTTCTGCTCTTGTGGATTCTTTCCTTTCTTCTCAGATTCTTGTTCCATCCGTTCCAGGAACAGAGCCGTCTCCGGTCTGGAAAAACAAAAAACAAACAAAAGCAGATTTAAGTCAATCAGTTAAAAAAAAAACAAAAAAAAACTGAGAAAATAAATTACAAAGTAAGAAAACACAAAAACGCGCTGATGTTTTCTTTGTCTCAGCAGATTATATGTAACTAAGGAGAAACATTAAGATCACAGGTGTTCAAAGTGGGGGTTCGGGGGCCATTTTTGGACCCTGACCTGACTTTATGCGGCCCTCCCAACCACAGTTCAAAAGCAGATTAAATAAATTAGGACAAAACTACGATTTTTAAAAGAAAATCCAGTCACATAAATGTTAGACGCAACACAAAGTGATAATCTTTTCCAAGGTTTCTGCTTTCCTCCTGTTGTCATGGTAACCAGGACCACATCGACCCGTCTGAATTACACCAAATCTGGTTGTACTTGCTGTACTAAAACTCGGCTAAAAACACAAAATGTTTTCAGATGAGGACTGATGTAGATCCTGTTCTTAATGGGGAGAATTCACTAAATATTTTTTTCAGTTTCCTTCAAATCAAAGACAAAATAATAAACAAACTGGATTCCTTTCATTTTACATAAAAACATTTGAAGTTTTGCATCTACAAAAAACATAAATAAATCAAGTTACTTTGTTTAATTAAAATAGTTCATGCTTCATTTATTGTTACGCAAGTAAAAAAAATCCTACTTTCTGTTTCTTCTGAATCAGAACCAAATCAAGCTTCACATCAGCTGTAAAGGAAATCAACCCGTGCCAGTAAAGACTGACCCTGGAGCGTTTACAGGCGCCATGATGCTCAGAGTCGTGTTGAAAACCTCCAGGTCGACTTCATCCTCGACCTCGGCGCCTCTGCAGGCTCCAGGTAAGGTTACTATGGAGACGCCGATAAGGTATCCCGACACGTCGGTGTGGAGCGTGATCACGTCGCTCAGGTGGGACTCGACCATCGCACACTGGGAACCACAACAACAAAACTCCTTCACAGAACGTAAAACCATTTTGGTGACTTCTGACTCGTTTTTGAAGCTGAACACATACGGCTCTGACGAACGCTGTGAGGTAACCGTCCATCTGCCACTCCGTCTGTCTGTCCGCCTGCAGGAAAACCCGAGGCACTCGGATTCTGTACAGGCCGTCGACTGCAGCCACTTCCTGAGGAGACCAAACCAGACAAATCCGTCATTTTTTAAAAAACCCAAACAAATCCGTCATTTTTTAAAAACCCAAACAAATCCATCATTTTTTAAAAACCCAAACAAATCTATCATTTTTTAAAAACAAAAACAAATCCATCATTTTTTAAAAACAAAAACAAATCCGTCATTTTTAAAAAAAAACCCAAACAAATCCGTTATTTTTTAAAAACAAAAACAAATCCATCATTTTTAAAAACAAAAACAAATCCGTCATTTTTTAAAAAACCCAAACAAATCCATCATTTTTTTAAAAACCAAAACAAATCCGTCATTTTTTAAACTCCAGAGGTTCCAGCCAAAGGTTTGGTTTTTCAGTTTCACCTTCAGCTTGGAGCGGTCGTCTTCTGACAGCTGGTTCTGAGTTAGAGAAACGCTCGGCTCCCGACCCGTTTTCAGCAGCAAAGATCCACGCAACTGAAACTTTGCAACATCATCTGAAGACCAAACAGAGCAAAGAACAGAGCATAGATAATTAAAAATGCAAAAAGTAATCATCAACTTTTGAGTTTAGAAACTGAAATTAAAGGTCACTTCCTGAAAAAAAAGAAAAGAAAAAAAAACTTATTCAGAGCAGAAATTAAACCAAAATGGCAAAAATTTGTTTTTAAGATAAAGAAAAAAACTTTGTAAATATGCATTTTAGGCAATACAGTTTGTATTTTTTTATTTCATTCTATATTTGGTTTACTTCATTTTCCTCTTCCTCTTAGATAATGTATATTCTTTAGATAATATATATTATCTAAAGAAAATGTATATTTACATTTTCTTTAGATAAAATACAACATTTTTGAAATTTAAAAAAAAAAGGAATTAAATCATTTATTTGTATTTTTTATGTATTTCGAATATTTAATAAAAAGGTTTAACTGGTTAAATAAAATATCAGTAGAATTTGTCAGAGTAATCAATAATCGATTTCTAATCAGTTTGAAATTCTTTAAAGGCAGCGTAAGTGCAAAGTTACATTATATCCTGACTTGTATATTTACATTTTCTTTAGATACATTTTAAATTAAGACTAAGCTTTACTACATGCCAAAATTACAAAGTCTTGAGGTTCAACTGAACATAATACTCTATTCAACCTGGTCAATAAACTTCCAAAACATCTATGACACAAACTATATACATACATAATCACAAGAAAAACAGAATGTCATCAGAATGACAGACAACGGAAATTGCGTTAGCTTGCTGAGCACAAGGATACTTTAGTTAGCAAACTAGCATGAGTGATGTTCTACACGCTTCTGTTTCTTCGCAATTAAAATATCTTCTCACCGAGTTCAAACGAGTGTTCAAGCGGCACAGAGAAACCACTGAGCTCGGCCTCCAAAGGATCACCGACCTGAAAATAATCAAAATCTGCGTTTAGCCTCTACATTATCACACAATGCTAACGCTAACTCGTTAGCATAAATAAAATAACCCTAATCGCTTTTTTGTTAAAAATATATTCATGAATGATTATTTAACTCTTACCCTCCGGCCGTTATTACATGATACTAAATTTGCGCATATCAATAACAAAACAAAGGAAATAATAGCAACATTAAACGGTTGCAGGCCAGCCATTGCTGCTAACTGTGGACACCGGAAGATGGCGAAAGAAGCAGCAACATCCGCATTTTCAGAATAAAAGCACACAAACTAGCTTACATATGTAAATACTTGCACGCTGCGTTTTTGATCTTTATTTTGAAATCTTTGGCTGAATTAATAGTATATTCTTAAAACTGATTTACAAAAATAATCTAGTTATTTTATTATTTAAAGGTTGTTTACATCAATATAATGTACTTTATTGATACCCAATGCGGTTTGTTGACAAGCTACTCCATCCAAAGTGTTAAATATTAGAAAATACAAATATAACCATAAGCGTTGTAAAGTTTAAATAAAAAAATATATTAGTGAGATATTGTAAGTAATCTAAATATGTCTAAATATAACATAAATGAATAAATAAAATAATAACAAGCATGCACATAGAAATATATTAATCTAAATGTAGATTGA